GATACACGTTAAACCAGGTCATCTCAGCTTCTAAGGAACAGCATTGAATGAAGCAAGGCTGCGACAAAGGCAAATTTTCACTTTTTACTGATTTCACTTTGAGAAATGTACCTATTATTCATGCACTTTACAATTTGCTTCCACTCATAAAAAACCAAAGCAAGTCAACCGAAGGTGGAATTGTCCATTTAGGTGCATCCTCCTGAACTCTGCCATTAGGATGACGATGCTTCCTGAAGTGATTAAAAGTTTCTCTAAGCCAGGCACAGTGGCACATGCCCTTAGTCCCAGCTACTCCAGATCACTTGAGCTCAGGAGTTCAACTCCAGCCTGGGTAACAAGGTGAGACCCCAGTCTCCAAAAATAAAAATTAAAAAATTTTAATAGCCGGGTGTGGTGGAGGCTCACGCCTGTAATCCCAGCACTTTGGGAGGCCGAGGTGGGTGGATCACGAGGTCAGGAGTTCGAGACCAGCCTAACATGGTGAAACCCCGTCTCTACTAAAAATGCAAAAATTAGCCGGGCATGGTGGCGCATGCCTGTAGTCCCAGTTACTCGGGAGGCTGAGGCAGGAGAATCGCTTGAACCTGGGAAGCGGAGGTTGCAGTGAGCCGAGATCATGCTACTGCACTCCAGTCTGGGTGAAAGAGCGAGACTCCATCTCGAAAATTAAAAAATTGATTAAATGAAAGTTTCGCTTGATTCCATGTACTCAATCTGTTCCTAGTTCAAGTAATGGTAAAATTCTGGTGCCATTACAATATAATTATGACTAGAAGACCAGAAAATCTTAACCAAACTCCCCTCCTTGAAAATGTATTGGAGCCGTGCACAGAGTAATGCAGTAGTGCAGGTCATTTAAGACTGCGGAAGGCCAGAAGCGGCAGCTCACACCTGGGATCCCAGCACTTTGGGAGGCCGAGGTTAGCGGATCACCTGAGGTCGGGAGTTCAAAACCAGCCTGACCAATGTGGTGAAACTGCGTCTCTACTAAAAACACAAAAATTAGCTGGGCGTGGTGGCAGGCACCTGCAGTCCCAGCTACTCAGGAAGCTGAGGCAGGAGCATCGATTGAACCTGGAAGGCGGAGGTTGCAGTGAGCTGAGATCGCGCCATTGCACTCCAGCCTGAGAGAGAGAGTGAGACCCTGTCTCAAAAACAAAAACAAAAAAAAAAAACTGCTGGGCTCAGCCCTGTGGAGTAACATTTCCTCATAATCGAATGAGGCCTAAATAATGTGACCAGTTTAGGTTTTCACACCTGCTTGGTTTCATGCCTCCAATAACTGCATCCAAAGTTCGGTGGGTCCCAGTTCAGTCCTGTTCTTGGATCTATGCAAGCTCTACCATTTCCTGTCCCTGGCAGAGGGTGAAAAGGAAATGAGAAAGGCCTAGCACCAAAAAGGCAGCTTTTAGAAGAAAAACCAGCTGGGGAAGTACCCTGTGTGCTTTCTGTTCTCATTTCCCCTGGTACAAGATAGTGAGTGCAGATTCAAATAACCTGTTTCTCTGAAGACACCATCTGAACTTTGAAGGGATGAAACCGAGCAGGTGTGAAAACCTAAATTGGTCATGTTCTCGTAATCTCATTTGATTATGAGAAAAGGTTACTGCACAGGGCTGAGCTCAGCACTCATTCTTTTCTTTTTTGAGACCGAGTCTCACTCTGTCACCCAGGTTGGGGTGCAATGGTGCAATCTCGGCTCATTGCAACTTCTGCCTCCCGGGTTCAAGCGATTCTCCTGCCTCAGCCTCCCGAGTAGCTGGAATTCCAGGCATGCGCACCACGCCCGGCTAATTTTGTATTTTTAGTAGAGATGGTGTTTCTCCATGTTGGTCAGGCTGGTCTCAAACTCTCGACCTCAGGTGATGTGCCCACCTCGGTGGGATAGTGCTGGGATTACAGGCGTGAGCCACCACGCCCGGCCTCGTTTATTTATGTATTTATTTATTTTTGAGACAGGGTCTTGTCTTGTCTCACTGCAACCTCTGCCTTCCGGGTTCAAGCGATTCTCATGCCTCAGCCTCCTGAGTAGCTGGGACTACTGGTGTATGCCACAGACCTTGGCCCAAGCCATAGCATATGAATTTGTAAAATCTAACTGTCATGCGTGTCCGTGTGAAGAGACCACCAAACAGGCTTTGTGTGAGCAACATGGCTGTTTATTTCACCTGGGGGCAGGCGGGCTGAGTCCGAAAAAGAGAGTCAGCGAAGGGAGGTAAGGGTGGGGCCGTTTTGTAGGATTTGGGTAGGTAAAGGAAAATTACAGTCAAAGGGGGGTTGTTCTCTGGTGGGCAGGAGTGGGGGTTACCAGGTGTTCAGTGGGGGAGCTTTTTGAGCCAGGATGAGCCAGGAAAAGGAATTTCACAAGATAATATCATTGCTTAAGGCAAGGACCGGCCATTTTCACTTCTTTAGTGGTGGAATGTTATACGTTAAGGCCAGGCAGGGCATTTGCACTTCTTTTGTGATTCTTCAGTTACTTCAGGCCAGCTGGGCGTATACGTGCAAGTCACAGGGGATGCGATGGCTTGGCTTGGGCTCAGAGGCCTGACACTAACCATGTCTACACTTAAAAGTGTTTTCCTCCTCACTGAGTAGTTCTTGATGGAGTCCCCTGATTACAACTGCCAATCAGATCAGCACAGCTCAGCAAAGTCAATAGAAGGCTTCCCTGTGACAATGGGAGCGGGTGTCTTATTTGCAATTTTGAAAAAGTATAAAAGTAGGGGCTTTTATATAATATTGAAAACTTGGACACGACTCCTGAGCTCAACAGGAAAATAACTAAGCAAACTTACCTGTGGGTCTTTCCTCAAAGGCAAATCCCACCGAAACACCCAAGAGTTACAAGGAAGGGGAAAAGCCTGTGGCAGGATTGGAAAACAGAGAACAATATAATCAAGTGACCAATAACACAGAGGGATTTCTGAATGAAATGAAGATGATGGAATCAGATCAACAGGGAAGCAGATCGTGCCTAACAGCCTAGCGATGTAACACTGGCAAGGTACGGGGCTCCGTGACAGGGGAATGGGCTGCTGCAACCAAGCCCCAGAAACTACCCAAAGGCAGAGCAGCCGGGGCTGGGATGACAGGCAGGTGTGAGGCAGGCAAAGGAGGGCAGGAAAAGCCCTCCCATTACAGCCAGGCACACGGTTTACTTCTCAGAGCTCTCCCCGTCCTAGTCAAAGAAGTAAGGGTAGCCAAAAGTAGAAATATCAGAAAGACTCCAAATTGCCATTATTTGCAAATAGAATGATCTCCTTAGAAAAAAATCCAAAAGAATCAACTAAAGAGTGATTAAAAAACAGTTTGGCCGGGCACGGTGGCTCACGCCTGTAATCCCAGCACTTTGGGAGGCTGAGGCAGGTAGATCATCTGAGGTCAAGAGTTCAAGACCAGCCTAACATGGTGAAACCCTGTCTCTACTAAAAGTACAAAAATTAGCCAGGCGTGGTGGGGTGTGCCTGTAGTTCCAGTTACTCGGGAGTGTGAGGCAGAAGAATCGCTTGAACCCAGGAGGCGGAGGTTGCAGTGAGCAGAGATCACACCACTGCACTCCAGCCTGGGCGACAGAGTGAGACTCCGTCTCAAAAAAAAAAAAAAAAAAAACCAGTTCAGTAAAATGGTCAGATAAGATAAACATTCAAAACCACCAACTGTTCTAAATGCAAACTCTAAACAGTCAGGGGGAAAAATAAAGTATTTTCTCACAGTAGCAACAAAAGCACAGTACAGGCCAGGCACAGTGGCTTACGTCTGTAATCCCAGCACTTTCAGAGGCTAAGGCAGGAGGATCACTTGACGCCAGGAGTTTGAAATCAGCTTGGTCAACATAGCTAGATCCCATTTCTACAAAAGAAAAATGCAAAAAGGAGCCAGGCATGATGGCGTGCACCTGTAGTCCCAGCTACGCAGGAGGCTGAGGCAGAGGACTGCTTGAACCCAAAAGTTCAAGGCTGCAGTGACCTATGACTGCCATCACTGCCCTCCAGCCTGGGCAACAGAGTGAGACCCTGTCCCTAAAACAAACAAACAAATAAAAATACAGCTGGAAATAAGTCTTTATAAATTAAGACCCCTTTGAAGAAAATTGTAAAACCTTGCTGCAAAGTGTTTTTAAAAACCTCAGCATGGCCAGGTGTGGTGACTCATGCCTGTAATCCCAGCACTTTGGGAGGCTGAGATGGGTGGATCACCTGAGGTCGGGAGTTTGAGACCAGCCTGACCAACATGGAGAAACCCCATCTCTACTAAAAATACAAAATTAGCTGGGCGTGGTGGCGCATGCCTGTAATCCCAGCTACTTGGGAGGCTGAGACAAGAGAATCGCTTGAACCCAGGAGGCAGGGGTTGTGGTGAGCCGAGATTGCACCATTGCACTCCAGGCTGGGCAATAAGAGAGAAACTCTGTCTCAAAAAACAAACCAACCAACAAACAAAATCTCAGCAAATGGAGTAGAAAGGCAACTCTATAAAGATATCAATGCTCCCAAACTTAACCTGTATGTTTAAATTAAAACCCCAAAGGGTTTCTTTTGGAAATCTGAAAAATTGATACTTAAGAATTATCTGAAAGGATACAATCGATGATTTTTTTTGTTCTGTTGTTTTTGAGATGGAGTCTCGCTCTGTCACCCAGGCTGTAGTGCAGTGGCACGATCTCGGCTCACTGCAACCTCCGCCTCCCGGGTTCAAACGATTCTCCTGCCTCAGTCTCCCGAGTAGCTGGGACTACAGGCGCCCGCCACCACGCCCAGCTAATTTTTGTATTTTTAGTAGAGACGGGGTTTCACCATGTTGGCCAGGATGGTCTCGATCTCTTGACCTCGTGATCCGCCCGCCTCGGCCTCCCAAAGTGCTGGGATTACAGGTGTGAGCCACCGCGCCCGGCCACAATCTATCATTTTTTTAAAATAAGAATGAAAACTTGCCCTATCAGGCAAAATGTACTGCAAATCGTAAGTAATACTGTGTTTCCAGATTAAAAGCACTACTGTGAAGAAAAGTGTAACTTTATTTAATACCAAATGTTTCCCAAGTGTACTTTTTGCACAATGCACAGACGCTTTGGGGACAATGCGTGGTTAAAAACTGATATTCTACAAACGGCTTCATGCTGCTGTCCATCATCCTGAAGGAAAAAGTATTCCGAAGGATGCCGGGTCTCCAAGTCCCAGGACTGGCTGACAGCCTCTCCCAGTGGATAGCAGGTCCTAATTCTCTTCTTCGAGCAGAGTCTCTGATTTCAGCTGGGCCTTCCTGATGTTCTCCAAGTTCAGTTGTTGATATTTTCTTTTAAAAAAGCCACACTGAAACAATGGAAGGAAAGTCCAGAGACAGGCCGAAGATTCCCATCTGTTTCAGAAAACTGGCACTCTGGCTGTTGTCTAAACAGCCCCTACATTCCTCTGTTTCTCATAACCACTATTCCTTTCTCCTACCTTCCTCTGACTCTCTCCCGGACAGTCCAATCCTTCAAGACCTCTGGTGCTCATCCCTCCATCAGAACTACTCCACCTCCTCTGACCCCTGCCCTCCCGAGCAGCTGAACCTTTTTAACTTATTTTGCAAAGCGTGATAATTTCGGCTGTACTGGATCTAATCTTGTTTATGCAAAAATACTCAGTAGAGCCTATGATGCTGAAGATAGAAGGAGATCAAGTACAGCTTCCTACGTCAAGCTCATCACCTAGCAGAAAAAGAGATAATTACAATACGGTGTGGTGACTGCCGTTTGGAAGGGTTCCCAGAAGGGAGCTCACAGCAAACGCACAGAAGCCAGCACAGACGACTCAGGAGTCTCTAGACCGCTTTCAGGGAAGAGAGTGAGCGAAGTCAGCAGTCATGGAGGGCATTCCTGACAACAGTAGCAGCCTATGCGTACGCAGAGGCACGAACCTATTTAGGGAACAGTTTGACTTGTTGGGAGAAAACAGCAGGGCCAGGTGCTCATGTCTGTAGCCCCAGCACTTCAGGAGGCCAAGATGAGAAGATCGCTTGAGCCCTGGAGTTTGAGACCAGCCTGGGCAATATAGGGAGACCTCATCTCCACAATATTAAAATTAAAAAATTAGCTGGGTGTGGTGGTATGCGCCTAAGTAACAGTCCCAACTACTCAGGAGACTAAGGCGGGAGGATGGCCTGAGCCTAGGAGTGTGAGGCTGCGGTGAGCCATTATTGTGCCACTGAGCTCCAGCCTGGGGGACAAAGCAAGACCCTGTCTTTTATTTAAAAAAAAAAAAAGGCTGGGCACGGTGGTCATGCCTGTAATCCCAGCACTTTGGGAGGCTGAAGTGGGTGGATCACTTGAGGTCAGGTGTTCGAGACCAGCCTGGCCAACACGGTGAAGCCCTGTCTCTACTAAAAATACAAAAATTAGCCGGGGCATGGTGGCATGTGCCTGTAATCCCAGCTACTGGGGAGACTCAGACAGGAGAACTGCTTGAACCTGGCAGGCAGAGGATGCAGTGAGCCAAGATCGCGCCATTGCACTACAGCCTGGGTGAAGAAACAAGACTCCGTCTCAAAAAATAAAAAAATTAAAAAAAAAAAGCTGGGCGCAGTGGCTCACGCCTGTAATCCTAACACTTTGGGAGGCCGATGCGGGTGGATCGCGTGAGGTCGGGTGTCTGAGACCAGCCTGGCCAACACGGTGAAACCCCATCTCTACTAAAAATACAAAAATTAGCTGGGCGTGGTGGCGCGCACCTTTAATCCCAGCTACTCGGGAGGTTGAGGCAGGAGAATTGTTTGAACCCGGAGCGGGGGTCGGGGGGGTGAGCGGAGGTTGCGGTGAGCGGGGATCGCACCACTGCACTCCAGCCTGGGCACAAAGAGCAAAACTCCATCTCAAAAAAAAAAAAAAAAAAGAAGAAAAGGAACACTTAAGGGTAGAGAGGGGTAGAGGACAGAGAGAAGAGAATCTTAAATAGCAGTAGAAGAGGCCGGGCGCCATGGCTCAAGCCTGTAATCCCAGCACTTTGGGAGGCCGAGACGGGCAGATCACGAGGTCAGGAGATCGAGACCATCCTGGCGAACACGGTGAAACCCTGTCTCTACTAAAGAAAAAAATACAAAAAAACTAGCCAGGCGCGGTGGCGGGCACCTGTAGTCCCAGCTACTCGGGAGGCTGAGGCAGGAGAATGGCGTAAACCCGGGAGGCGGAGCTTGCAGTGAGCTGAGATCCGGTCACTGCACTCCAGCCTGGGTGACAAAGCAAGACTCCATCTCAAAAAAAAAAAAAAAAAAAAATCAGTAGAAGAGTTTGCACATTAAGACAGGGGAAGGCAAGGAAAAGATTTCACTAGGGGAGCAGCAATCACATCTGTTTTAAGGCCTTTTTTACCGTGAAGGCCTCTTCCAATCAAGTTACAAATGCTGGCCTAGGGTTGACCTTCCAGGCCCTATTTAACTCACAGGTAGCCGAACGTAACAGGAGTAAGTTCTGGGCCTTGAGAATAGCGAGGTGGCAAAGAAATATATATAGAATCGCTCTTTTTTTTTTTTTTTTTGAGACGGAGTCTCGCTCTGTCGCCCAGGCTGGAGTGCAGTGGCGCGATCTCGGCTCACTGCAAGCTCCGCCTCCCGGGTTCACGCCATTCTCCTGCCTCAGCCTCCCGAGTAGCTGGGACTACAGGCGCCCACAACCGCGCCCGGCTAATTTTTTGTATTTTTAGTAGAGACGGGGTTTCACCGTGGTCTCGATCTCCTGACCTTGTGATCCGCCCTCCTCGGCCTCCCAAAGTGCTGGGATTACAGGCGTGAGCCACCGTAGAATCGCTCTTTATTATTCAATTAGAGTTTTCTCTTTTCAGACAGATACTGTTTTACTCATTTGTCTAAATGGGGGTGTGTAGTTGAAGGAGGAGAAAAAAGTGGCCACGAGGCCAGGGCAGCCGCTCTAAGTCAGAGGTTGGCTGTCCTAAGGAGTTCTGTGCCCAAAACCAGAGCCCAGTCTTCCCTCACCGTTATGCCATGAGTAGAACTGACCTTGAACAGGATGACCAGAATCACAATCAACACCAGAAGTCCACCAATGCTGCCTTTAATGATGACAGGCAAAGAATGGTACTTCTCATCTTTCAGGAAGACGACAGTGATCTAGACAAGACAAAGAGATGGCCCAATACATCAGGTGAAGGAAATGAGGAAAAAATCCTACATGTTATTTTAAGGAGCAAAATACGAGGACTTGGCAACATCCTGTGTATTGATTAAAACTGATGACACGAAAGCAAAAAGCTAATATTCCCTGATACAGCATTTTAGATCATCTAAAATTATCCAATCATCCAAATACTTTGTAAGAAACTATTCTGGCCCCTTATCTAGAAGGGCTAGGTCTGTCAGGAGATTGTGACCTTCTGTTAAAGATGCTCTGACAGCTTGAAAGAGGGTCCCGCGGAATGCAGTCTCAACACAGGACTGCGAGGCTGTCACACCGCTTCACTGCTCTATGTCCCTGAGCCCCATGCCTGTTCTCTTTAAAACGATGACTTCCTTTCAATGATCTCCAAGTCCTTTCCAGCTCCGTTCTGACGGCTCTTTTTGATCTTGCACAGATCCCTAAAGGCTTTGGTAATACATTTTCCCCACAAAATATGACAAAAGTACTGGTCTTCTCCTCACCAGACTAAAAAGTGTGTATTACCTAAGGGACATAATAAATGCAAAATTATATCCATGTGTACTACTTGCAGAGCTCAGCTATTAGAAGTCATCCTCAGGTTTTGTTTTCCAAAGGCTCTCCCAGTGTCGGGAGTCTCATCTCTCTTCTGGCAGGGCTCAGCTAGAAAGTTCAGGGGATGTGCTTCCTGAGACCCAGGGATGTGCTTCCTGAGACCCAGGGATGTGCTTCCTGAGACCCAGGGATGTGCTTCCTGAGACCCAGGGATGTGCTTCCTGAGACCCAGGGATGTGCTTCCTGAGACCCAGGGATGTGCTTCCTGAGACCCAGGGATGTGCTTCCTGAGACCCAGGGATGTGCTTCCTGAGACCCAGGGATGGCCCTTCCAAGTTGTGGCCAGAACAAGTTCCCAGGACTTAGGTGGGGCCAGAGAGCCAACAAGACTTCTCTGCCTGCTCAGAGCACTGAGTTCCCTTCACGTGTATGTTTAAGCGCCAAGGTCAGGGATGCTTTGGAGAGGTTTCTGTACGGGGTGAAGAGCTGGACAAACTTACCTTTAAGGCCTCTTCCAATTAAGTTATAAATGCTGGTTGACCTAAAGTTGACCTTCCAGGTCCTACTTAGATCATAGGTAGTGAACTTAATAGAAGTGAAGTCCTAGGACTTGAGAATAGGGAGGTACCATAGCAACAAAGACGGAGGAAGAACAGAAAGAGGGCTGGAATATTCTTCCATAGGAGAAAGAGGGGGACTCGAGAACCTGGGTGTGGGAAGTGAAAGGAAGTCCCAAGGTGACTCGGGAAACAGGCCAGATTTGAGTAGAAGACATGTCCCCATTTCTCAAAGCCGCCTCCCTTTATCCTCTTCTAAACCCACAGATTCCCAAAAGTGCCCTGAAGATGCCCAGGTAGAGGTTAAGGGAGAAGCAGGGCACCAGGTACTACTGCTTGCAGCAAACACTGATGCTGGCCTGCCCAGTGGCCACTCTCTCCTTTCGGATTTTATTCAGGAATCATGGTTGGTCTAAGGTGATCATGACACACAGCTATTCTCCTTCGCCAGTGACTGACGTGAGATTCAGATCTCACTAAGAAGAGGTAAGAGGATGTCTCCTGGGAGCTTTTGGAAACTGTTTCATCCCTGAAAAGGGAAGGCGCATGAAGAAAAAGCCAAAATCCTTTTGCGACTGACTTCTTGCTTCCTGTTCTGTATCCTGCCATGTGAAAACATAGCATTTGGAGACGTGGTAACTTTGTGCTGGCCGTGACGGAACGCAGCCCCAACACGGCAGAGTGCAAGGACAAAAGCAGCCAGCCCATCGCCCCAGGTCACTCTCTCTCGCTGGATAAACAGCATATGCCCTTGTGCTGGAAGAGATGGATTTTCCCTTTCTTGCGGCTGAAATGCATTTGGATAGTTTGTTTATATTCACAGAGTCACTGTCACTCAGGTGCTTATTGTCAGGAACTACTTAATACTTTGCTTAGGATATTGGATTTAAAGAAAGGAATTTTGCGGAATCCATGCCATAGAAATAAAAGTATCAGTAAGTAAGAGGGGGAAATATATAAATTTAAAATGTGCACGTAAGAAACTTAATAGTAACTCCTCCCTGCTAGGGGCATGGGAAGGGAGAAGTGAAGGAACCATTATTTTTCATTTCATTACCGTTCTCTGTATGGCTTGGATTTTCTTGCTATTACTTTTATTGGTTAAAATTTGGGCAGTGCAATAATGGGGCACTTCTATTTCTTCCACATTGTTTTCTGTATTAGAAATACACTACTTAGCTGGGCATGGCGGCTCACGCCTGTAATCCCAGCACTTTGGGAGGTCAAGGGGGGCAGATCACCTGAGGTCAGGAGTTGGAGACCATCCTGGCTAACACAGTGAAACCCTGTCTCTACTAAAAATACAAAAAAAAATTAGCCAGGCATGGTGGCGGGCGCCTGTAGTCCCAGCTACTCGGGAGGCTGAGGCAGGAGAATGGCGTGAACCCGGGAGGCGGAGCTTGCAGTGAGCCCAGATCGCACCACCGCACTCCAGCCTGGGCGACAGAGCAAGATTCTGCCTCAAAAAAAAAAAAAAAAAAAGAAAAGAAAAAAAAGAAATACACTACTTAAAAATAAAAGGAAATGTTATATTGGCATGTCTAGACAATTGCTCCTTTCTGCTCCTCCAGGGAGGAAAACAGAGGACCTTATATTTAGCAATCCAGCATCACTCTCCTGACGTTCCCTCTAGTAGACAATCATGCCTAACTAAAGAGCTCAGAGCTCACAGATAGATCACCTCTGAAGCCATGTCCAGGCAAGTGTCAACAAGAATGAACACACAGGGTAACACACAAAGCATTCAGTCCATAAATCACAGGCATCAGTCTAAGTTCTGGTCATACGTTTGCAAAAAGAATTCCAAGAGTTCCAGTATCTAGTCTAAATCTTATAAAAGATTTATGCATTCCTGAGTACTGTTTAATACTATAACCAAACACTGATACAGCACACTAAGACAGTTAATGTATACGAAAAACAATTTCTTACTTAGGAAATTTTAAAAAAATTATTTATTTATTTATTTGAGACTGGGTCTCGCTCTATCATTGAGACTGGAGTGCAGAGGCACGATCTCAGCTCACTGCAACCTCTACCTCCCAGATTCAGGCGATTCTCGTGCCTCAACCTCCCAAGTAGGTGGAATTACAGGCACCCACCATCACGCCCGGCTAATTTTTGGATTTTTAGTAGAGACAGGGTTTCACCATGTTTCACCACGTTGGCCAGGCTGGTCTTGGCCTGATCTCAAGTGATTCACCCGCCTCGGCCTCCCAAAGTGCTGGGATTACAGTGTGAGCCACCAGTGCCTGGCTGGAAATTTTTTTTTTTAATCAATATATTTTCAAATCAAAGTATATAATGCAGATTCCAGCCTAGTTATTTCAATTCAGAACTCCTCAGCTTGCACCTCTTAATTGCCTTATTTCATAGGCAAAAAACTCGCAGAAGCTGACTCACTCAAGGTCACAAAGGCAGTGATGGCAGAGCCAAGATCAGAAGTGTTAAGGCTGAAAACAGGAAGAAGGCAACAGAATGTCTGTGCAGGCACTCAAAGGTTAGGCACAATTTTCCTTGGGCACTACTCAGAAGTTAGCCAGGAATTACCTTAGTTCTGTGGTTCTCTGCATTCAGTCCCTCATATAGAGATTTGTTGAAAGATATTTCACCAAGGATCTGCAGTTCAGTTACATCTTTTAGTAACTAGAAGATGGGGAAAGGAAAGAGAGAAACAAAACATATTTTAGACATGAACTCACTGTGTTTGAATGGCCCTCACCACCTTTCCTTTTAAAGGCATTCCTGGGCTTAGTTAACGGCCCCAAAGTACACAACACTACACAAAGTTACCCAAACAAGACCATCTGCAGTTATTCTCCAACTTCCTTTTCTTTTCTTTTTTTTTTTTTTTGAGACAGAGTCTTGCTCTTTTGCCCAGGCTAGAGTTAAGTGAAGTGCTGCGGTCTCGGCTCACTGCAACCTCCGACCCCCCAGGTTCAAGGGCTTCTCCTGCCTTAGCCTCCGAGTAGCTGGGATTATAGGCGTGAGTCACCACGCCCGGCTAATTTTTGTATTTTTAGTAGAGATGGGGTTATGCCATGTTGGCCAGGCTGGTCTCGAACTCCTGACCTCAGATGATCTACCCGCCTCGGCCTCCCAAAGTGCTGGGATTACAGGCGTGAGCCACCGCGCCTGGCCTTTTCTTCTTTTCCCTTGTGCCATCCAAAGTCAGCTCTTGACTGACTTGTTTTTGAGACAGGATCTCGCTCTGTCACCCAGGCTGGAGTGCAATGGTATGATCAAGGGTCAGTGTAGCCTCAACCTTCCAGGCTCAAGTGATCCTCCCACCTCAGTCTCCCGAGCAGCTGGGACCACAGGCACACCCCACCACACTGGGCTAATTTTTGTATTTTGTATTTTTTGAGACTCTGTCTCAAAAAAAAAAAAAAAAAGAAAGAAAGAAAGAAAAGGAAGTTGGAGAATAACTGCAGATGGTCTTGTTTGGGTAACTTTGTGTAGTGTTGTGTACTTTGGGGCCGTTAACTAAGCCCAGGAATGCCTTTAAAAGGAAAGGTGGTGAGGGCCATTCAAACACAGTGAGTTCATGTCTAAAATATGTTTTGTTTCTCTCCTTCCTTTCCCCGTCTTCTAGTTACTAAAAGATGTAACTGAACTGCAGATCAGATGGGGTTTCACCATGTTGCCCAGGCTGGTCTCAAACTCCTGGGCTCAAGCAATCCACCCACATTAGCCTCCCACAGTGCTGAGATTACAGGCATGAGCCACCGCACTCAGCTTATTCATTTTATTTAATGTAAGCGTTTCTTCCCTTTTTTTTTTTTTTTGTTTGAGACAAGGTCTCACTCTGTTAGCCAGACTGGAATGCAGTGGCTCAATCATAGCTCACTGAAGCTTCAAATTCCTGGGCTCAAACGATCCTCCTGCCTCAGCCTCCCAAGTAGCTGGGACTACAGGAATGAGCCACCATGCCTGGCTATTTTTTATTTATTTTTTTTAAGAGATGGGGTTTCACTTTGCTGCCCAGGTTGATCTTGAACTCCTGGCCTCAAGCAATCCTCCCGCCTCAGCCTGCCAAAGTGTTGGGATTACAGATGTGAGCCACCACACTCACAATTCTTTTTTTAATTTTATCTTGTACCTGTCCCTTTCTTTTCCACCCCCATTGCTACTTCTTCAGTTGAGACCTCATGAATGTCACCTGGATCACTGCAAGACATTAAACTTGATCACTTGATCACTAATTCCCACTTTAGGATAAGTAATCAGGGAAGGCCTCTCTAAGAAAATAACACCTGAGGCTGGGCATGGTGGCTCACGCCTGTAATCCCAGCACTTTGGGAGGCCGAGGTGGGCGGATCACCTGAGGTCGGGAGTTCAAGACCAGCCTGACCAACATGATGAAACCCCATCTCTACTAAAAATACAAAATTAGCCGGGCGTGGTGGCGCATACCTGTAATCCCAGCTACTCAGGAGACTGAGGCAGGAGAATCGCTTGAAGCCGGGAGGCGGAGCTTGCAGTGAGCTGAGATCTGGCCACTGCACTCCAGCCTGGGTGGCAGAGCGAGACTCCGTCTCAAAAAAAAAAAAAAAAAAAAAGAAAGAAAGAAAAGAAAAGAGAAAAGAACACCTGAGCTAAATTTAAGAAGAAACCACCTCCATGAGGACCTAGGGGAAGAGCAGTGTTAAGCAAAGGAACAGCAAGTACAAAGTCTTATGGCCAGAATAATACTGTACTGGCAAGCTAGAAGAATAGGACAGAATAATCCGATTATAAAAGGGGCAGTGGGCCGGGTGCAGTGGCTCACGCCTGTAATCCCAGCACTTTGGGAGGCCGAGGTGGGCGGATCACGAGGTCAGGAGATCGAAACCATCCTGGCTAACACAGTGAAACCCCATCTCTACTAAAAAAAAATACAAAAAATTAGCCAGGAGTGGTGGTGGGCGCCTGTAGTCCCAGCTACTCAGGAGGCTGAGGCAGAAGAATGGCGTGAACCCGGGAGGCAGAGCTTGCAGTGAGCAGAGATCGTGCCACTGCACTCCAGCCTGGGCGACAGAACAAGACTTTGTCTCAAAAAAAAAAAAATAAAATAAAATAATAAAAGGGGCAGTGGGAGAGAAAGGCGAGTACTAGGAGATGAAGTTGAAGAATTAAGCAGAGACCAGATCAAGTAGTGCCTTGCTCTGGCCATGAAAAAAGTATGGATTTTAGTCTAAGTGTGCTCAAGCACCAGTTTTGTTTTGTTTTGTTTTTTAAATAGGCAGGGGAGTGGCACAATCTAATGTCTGCTCTTAGAAGATGGATAGCTGTTACGTGGGAATTATTTATAGAGAATGTGGGAAAAACAGAGGCAAGAAAAGCAGGCTGAAGGTGATTGCAACAGCCCTGGCAAGAAAGGGTAGTTTGAATTACAACGGCAGTGGAAATGGAGAGAAGTGAATGGATTTTGGGTATATTTTGGCACTGAAATGGCAGGGCTTGCTGCTAGAAAAGACGTGGGGATGTAGGAAAGCGGAGTCACAGGTAATCCCTAGAGTTCTTTGTCCTGTAACTGGAGTAAATCACCCTCCTGAGGGCAGCTAAGGAACGGGTTGAAACAGAGGGTTGGTTTTTCGCACCAAAAGACCTATTTTGGACATGGTATACAAAGATGCTATTATCTCTTCTCGGGGGCGATGCCCGTGAGCAACTGGATAATCAAATCTGGAGCATTTCAGTCTCAAATACCTCCTCAGAGTGATCCACGGAGATCTCTGCAGCCACGGTTACATTTTCTTTATCTGAAGCGATGACACAGCTCACTGAATGCCATTCTTCCACATGCTGGAAAAGCAGGGTCTAGTTAACACGATTCCTTTCCGTGCGGAAAGACTGACACGTTTAACACTTTGGACACAGAGCATCGTAAGGTCCCAGAATAGAGGGTGTGCGCAATTTCAGCGCTCACCTCGGCCCAAGCAAAGCTCCGGCGGGAGCAAATGAGACCCAGGGACGAAGCTAGGGAGGGCCTGGGAGCCCCTGGCACTGGCAGGCAGGGGTAACCCTGGAAAAACGGTCTCCTGGCCTCTCGTTCACCCGCTTCAGGCTCTCCGCCCTCCCCTGGCCTGTCGGGACGGCCACACTTACCTGAACCGGAATGAATCCACAAGCGCGCTCCTGACTCCAGGTGCACACCGTGAAGGCCTGAAACGAGACCCATGACCGCGACGCGCTGAACAAACCGAGCCGCCAGTTTTCGGTTCCCGCCCGGGCCCCGGCCCCGGCCAGTGCCCGGACCCGTGCCCCGGCGAGGTGCGCATGCGCAGAGCCGGGAGCTAGGACCCCGCGGCAGGCCGGCGCGTCCGCGTCGCGCGGAAGTCTCGCGATGTTTGCGTTTGAACATCTTGGCGGGTGCTGGCCATGGCGGCTTCGCCCCCGGGATTTGGGAGCCGGCTTTTCCGCACTTATGGGGCTGCCGACGGCAGGAGACAGCGGCGGCCGGGCCGGGAAGCCGCGCAGTGGTTCCCGCCGCAGGACCGGAGGCGTTTCTTCAACAGCAGCGGCAGCAGCGACGCCAGCATCGGCGACCCCTCGCAGTCCGACGATCCTGACGATCCCGACGATCCGGACGACCCCGACTTCCCCGGCAGCCCGGTGAGGCGGCGGCGGAGGCGTCCCGGCGGCCGAGTCCCCAAGGACCGGCCCAGCCTGACCGTGACCCCAAAGCGCCGGAAGCTGCGAGCTCGCCCGAGCCTCACCGTGACCCCAAGACGCCTGGGGCTGCGAACTCGGCCCCCGCAGAAGTGCAGCACCCCCTGCGGCCCGCTCCGACTCCCGCCCTTCCCCAGCCGCGACCCCGGCCGCCTCAGCCCGGACCTCAGCGCGTGCGGCCAGCCCAGGGACGGCGACGAGGTGGGCACCAGTGCTTCCCTGTTCAGCTCTCTGGCCTCGCCCGGCCCCGGGTCCCCAACGCCAAGGGACAGGGCCATCTCGATCGGCACCTCCGCCTCTCTGGTTGCAGCGTCAGCCGTCCCGAGCGGCCTCTACCTCCCGGAAGTCTCCCTGGACCAAGCGTCTCTCCCCTGCTCCCAGGAGGAAGCGACAGGAGGAGTCAGGCTCACCAGGATGGTCCACCAAACCCGTGCCAGCCTCAGGTCAGCAATCTTTGGCCTTGTGAACTCAGGAACCCCTGAGGATTCCGAGTTTGGGGCAGATGGGAAGAATATAAGGGAATCCTGCAGTAAAAGGAAACTGGTGGGAAGTGGACCGGAGTGTCCAGGTCTGTCAAACACAGGCAAGAGGAGGGCCACGGGCCAAGTCTCTTGTCAAGAGAGAGCGCTTCAAGAGGCCGTCCCGAGAGAGCATCAGGAAGCCAGCGTTTCCAAGGGCCGCATTGTGCCAGGGGGAATCGACAGGCTGGAGAGAACTAGACCAAGCCGGAAGAGCAAACATCAGGAGGCAAGGGAAACCTCTCTCCTCCATTCCCACCACTTTAAAAAGGGCCAAAAGATGAGAAAAGATTCGTTCCCCACCCAGGACCTGACTCCTTTACAGAATGCCAGCTTTTGGACCAAAACCAGGGCTTCCTTCAGTTTCCACAAGAAGAAAATTGTGACTGATGTGTCAGAGGTCTGCAGCATCTATACCACTGCCACTTCTCTCTCTGGATCCCTCCTATCAGAATGTTCAAACCGGCATGTCATGAACAAAACAAGTGGTGCTCTGTCCTCTTGGCACTCCTCCTCAATGTATTTGCTAAGCCCCTTAAACACTCTAAGTATTTCAAACAAAAAGGCATCTGATGCTGAAAAGGTTTATGGGGAATGCAATCAGAAGGGTCCTGTCCCCTTTAGCCATTGCCTTCCCACAGAAAAACTGCAATGCTGTGAGAAGATTGGGGAAGGGGTGTTTGGCGAAGTGTTTCGAACAATTGCTGATCACGCACCTGTAGCCATAAAAATCATTGCTATTGAAGGACCCGATTTAGTCAATGGATCCCATCAGAAAACCTTTGAGGAAATCCTGCCAGAGATCATCATCTCCAAAGAGTTGAGCCTCTTATCCGGTGAAGTGTGCAACCGCACTGAAGGCTTTATCGGGCTGAACTCAGTGCACTGTGTCCAGGGATCTTACCCTCCCTTGCTCCTCAAAGCCTGGGATCACTATCATTCAACCAAAGGCTCCGCAAATGACCGGCCTGATTTTTTTAAAGACGACCAGCTCTTCATTGTGCTGGAATTTGAGTTTGGAGGGACTGACCTAGAGCAAATGAAAACCAAGTTGTCTTCCTTGGCTACTGCAAAGAGCATTCTACACCAGCTCACAGCCTCCCTCGCAGTGGCGGAGGCATCACTGCGGTTTGAGCACCGAGACTTACACTGGGGGAATGTGCTCTTAAAGAAAACCAGCCTCAAAGAACTCCACTACACCCTCAACGGGAAGAGCAGCACCATCCCCACCCGTGGGCTGCAAGTCAGCATCATTGACTACACCTTGTCCCGCTTGGAACGGGACGGGATTGTGGTTTTCTGCGACGTTTCCATGGACGAGGACCTGTTTACCGGTGACGGCGACTACCAGTTTGACATCTACAGGCTTATGAAGAAGGAGAATAACAACTGCTGGGGAGAATATCACCCTTATAGTAATGTGCTCTGGCTACATTACCTGACAGACAAGATTCTGAAACAAATGACCTTCAAGAGTAAATGTAACACTCCTGCCATGAAGCAAATCAGGAAGCAGATCCGGGAGTTCCACAGGACAATGCTGAACTTCAGCTCTGCCGCTGACTTGCTCTGCCAGCACAGTCTATTTAAGTAAGCTCAATGTGTCTGACTGCCCCCAGGTGAGAGGAGGCTGGTCTTGAAGCCTCTGGTGCCGTTTCAGCCTCCATCCTCAGAGCAGGGTGGAACTCCCATTCTCACAGGCTTCCAGTCAGCTTTTCAAACAAGAATTTTGTTTCCAAATGGAAACTGAAATATTTGTTGAAATGTTTAAATGTGCTGATAACAAACGTTCTTTAAAAAGTAAACTAGCTGGGCGCGGTGGCGTGCGCCTGTAGTCCCAGCTACTCGGGAAGCTGAGGCAGGAGGATCGCTTGAGCCTAGGAATTCAAATCTAGCCTGGTCAACATAGCAAGACCCCTGCCTCTATTTTTAAAAATAAATAAACTGCATATGAATGCAAATGTTTCTATTTGTAAGCCCTCTTTATTTTATTGTATTGAGACAGTCTTGCTCTGTCACCCAGGCTGGAGTGCAGTGGCACATCTCAGCTCCCTGCAACCTCCACCTCCCGGGTTCAAGCAATTCTCCTACCTCAGCCTCCCGAGTAGCTGGGATTACAGGCGGACGCCACCACGCCTGGCTAATTTTCTGTATTTTTTTTTTAGTAGAGACGGGATTTCACCATGTTGGCCAGGCTGGTCTCGAACTCCTGACCTTGTGATCCACCCGCCTCAGCATCCCGAGTGCTGGGATTACAGGCGTGAGCCATGGTACCTGACCTGTAAGCCCTCTTTCTAATTGTCAGCAGAGTCGTTTCTGTAAATTCGTTTCCATTTTTTGAGCATTGACACTGATGTAGTGTGAGAAAAAAAGAAAAAAAAAGCCCAGGCTTCAGCCGTCATACTGAGCAGAGCCTGTTGCTTCAGGTATCAAGGCTAGCTTTGGGAACCAGACTACAGATGAGACAACTGAAAGTAAAGAGGCTGAGGCAAAGCAGAGACCAAAAAAAGAGTCTCAGGGGAGAAGAAGGGAAGCTAGTAAGCAACTTACAGGGGGCAGTGTAAGAAATGTCACATGTTGTATCAGTCAAACAGAGAAGCAGAATTTATCAATTTTCAAAGGGGAAATGTCTCTTGTCTACTGACACGGTTTTAATTTTTGCTTATTTTTCCTCAACGGAGGAAAACTGACAGGTTGCTTTAAGATCTGAGTGATTGAGATTCCTTCTGAACAGGATTTCAGTAATTTACTCCTAGTCTTTTCCCATGGTTAACTTGTCTTTCCTCCGTTTCTAGAACTCTGGTTTTTTATACTTGAGACTCTGTGGTCACTCTGGAAAAAGATGCGATTGTGATAAAGAACTGCCTTTAAATACCTGAGTCCTCGTCAGGTTCTTCACTGTTACAATCTGGAGACCACGTAATTTGGTTGGGACACAAATTCGCAACTGGTATTCTGCTCCAAAGAGGTTTTCCCCATGTATCTGCAAATTAAAATCAGAGTAGGAACTCAAAGCGGGTGTTGCTTTGCCACCTATAGCTTTACAATAATAAGTACTTACATGGAAGACGAATTCTTTGTGGTGAGAAAGCACCTGGCCTGTGTGCACGTACATTATGGATGGTCTGCAATTGAGAGGACATGCATCAGCCCTTGAGGACTCTTTCTCCCTTTTTTGGAGACAGGGTCTCACTCTGTTGCCCAGGCTAGAACGCAGTGGAACAATCATGGCTCAGTGTAGCCTCAACCTCCCGGGCTCAAGTGATCCTCCACCTCAGCCTGCCAAAGTCTTGGGATGACAGGCATGAGCCACCGCACCCATCCTCCTTTCTTTTTTTTTTTTTTCTTTTTTTTTTTTGAGATGGCGTCTTGCTCTGTCACCCAGACTGGAGTGCAGTGGTGCGATCTCGGCTCACTGAAACCTCTGCCTCCCGGGTTCAAGTGATTCTCCTGCCTCAGCCCCCCGAGTAGCTGAGATTACAGGCGCCTGCCATCACACCTGGCTAATTTTCATATTTTTAGTAGAGACAGGGTTTTGCCATGTTAGCCAGGCTGGTCTCGAACTCCTGACCTCAGGTGATCCACCCACCTCAGCCTCCCAAAGTGCTGGGATGACAGGTGTGAGCCACCGTGCCCGGCCTCTTTTTGAATGAACTTGAGTGCTTTCAACTAAATACGCTAGGACAGAGGGCACCAGACCTTTACGAGGAATGAGGCCAGGTGCGGTGGCTCACGCCTGTCACCCCAGTACTTTGGGAGGCCAAGGCGGGCGGATCACCTGAGGCCAGGAGTTCAAGACCAGCCTGGCCAACATGGTGAAATCCCCATCTCTACTAAAGTAAATTTTTAAAAAATTAGTTGGGCCTTGTGGTATCCACCTGTAGTCTCAACTACTCAGGAGGCTGAAGCAGGAGAATTGCTTGAACCCGGGCAGCAGAGGTTGCAGTGAGCTGAGATAGCACCAAGTGCTCCAGCCTGGGCAACAGAGTGAGACTTTGTCTCAGTTAAAAAAAAAAAAAAAAAAAAAAAGGAATAAAAGCTGAATGTCGGCCGGGCGCGGTGGCTCAAGCTTGTAATCCCAGCACTTTGGGAGGCCGAGACGGGCAGATCACGAGGTCAGGAGATCGAGACCATCCTGGCTACCCTGGTGAAACCCCGTCTCTACTAAAAAATACAAAAAACTAGCCGGGCGTGGTGGCGGGCGCCTGTAGTCCCAGCTACTCAGGAGGCTGAGGCAGGAGAGTGGCGGGAACCTGGGAGGCGGAGCTTGCAGTGAGCTGAGATCCGGCCACTGCACTCCAGCCTGGGCGACAGCGAGACTCCGTCTCAAAAAAAAAAAAAAAAAAAAAAGCTGAATGTCAAAATGTAAAGTGCTCATATCGCAGTTGGGGTGAAGTGGAATATTTGAATTCTGTATAGTTGGGCTGGTTCATTTACTCATTATCCCTCACATGGCCTTACTCATCCCCTCCTTACTTCCCAGTCCCACAGCTGCCTTCTTCCCTCCACAACGTCATATTAATTCCCTTTTGTAGCAAGACTAGTTGGCAACACACCTCCTTTGATGACCACAATGGGATTTCTGTGACCCAAACGTTAGTACCCTAGAGATCAATATCAGAGCCTGGGTTCTAAGCAGGCTCCTCTCAGAAGGACAGTGTCCACATTCATCCTGACCACCAGCTCCGTCTACAAGACAGAGAGCCCAAAGCCGTCCCCTGGGCGACGGAGTCACACTGGTGCTGGCCCCTCAGGAGTACTTACTTGGAGAGAACTGCAACGAAGCCATGCCTGAATTGAAGGGTGTGGGTCTCCTCGGCCACAGACCGTCTTTCATTGGAACTAGGAATAAGAGTGTTAGTTCACAGCACACCTGCTTTGTACATAGCAAGTGCTTCTTTTTTTTTTTTCTGAGACAGAGTCTTGCTCTGTTGCCCAGGCTGGAGTGCAGTGGCGCGATCTCGGCTCACTGCAAGCTCCGCCTCCTGGGTTCACACCATTCTCCTGCCTCAGCCTCCCGAGTAGCTGGGACCACAGGTGCCCGCTACCACGCCCGGCTAATTTTTTCCATTTTTTTAGTAGAGACGGGGTTTCACCGTGTTAGCCAGGATGGGCAAGTGCTTCTTAAAAAGGGCCTCGCCCTGTTGCCCAGGCTGGAGTGCAGTGGTGCGATCTCAGCTCACTGCAACCTCCCCCCTGCCGGGTTCAAGCAATTCTCATGCCTCAGCCTCCTCAGTAGCTGGAATTACAGGCGTGTGCCACCACGCCCTGTTAATTTTTGTATTTTTAGTAGAGACGGGGTTTCACCATGTTGGCCAGGCTGGTCTCAAACTCCTGACCTCAAGTGATCTGCCTGCCTCAGCCTCCCAAAGTGCTGGGATTACAGGCGTGAGCCACTGCACCCGGCCTTTTTTTTTTTTTTTTTTTTTGAGACGGAGTCTTGCTCTGTCACCCAAGCTAGAGTGCAGTGGCGCAATCCTGGCTCACTGCAAGCTCCGCGTCCCAGGTTCACGCCATTCTCCTGCCCCAGCCTCCCAAGTAGCTGGGACCACAGGCGCCCACCACCTCGCCCGGCTCATTTTTTGTATTTTTAGTAGAGACAGGGTTTCACCGTGGTCTCGATCTCCTGACCTTGTGATTCGCCCGCCTCGGCCTCCCAAAGTGCTGGGATTACAGGCGTGAGCCACCGCGCCCGGCCTCCAGCCTTTTTTTTTAAGTTCCAGGGTACATGTGCAGGATGTGCAGGTTTGTTACATAGGTGAACGTGTGCCATGGTGCTTTGCTGTACCTGTCAACCCAGAACCTAGTTACTAAGCCCAGCATGTATCAGCTATTCTTCCTGATGCTCTCCCTCCCCCTGCCCCTCCCACAGGCCCCAGTGTGTGTTGTTCCCCTCCCTGTGTCCATGTGTTCTCACTGCGTAACAGGAGCTTCTGCACCTGGCTCCCCGGGTCACTGGCAGTCAGATAAGGAAAGGCTCTCAGAGGCCAGGCACGGTAGCTCACACCTGTAATCCCAGCACTTTGGGAGGCCAAAGCTGGTGGATCACGACGTCAGGAGTTCAAGACCAGCTTGGCCAAGATGGTGAAACCCCGTCTCTACTAAAACTGCAAAAATTAGCTGGGCGTGGTGGTGGGCGCCTGTAATCCCAGCAACGTGGGAGGCTGAGGCAGAGAATTGCTTGAACCCGGGAGGCAGAGGTTGCAGTAAGCTGAGATCGCACACTGCACTCCAGCCTGGGAGACAGAACGAGACTCCATCCCAAAAAAAAGAAAAAGAAAAGGCTTTCAGAGATAAGCAACTGGAGTTCGGAATTGTCTCTAGAAGACCACACTTAGAAAAATGCTGATTTTAAAAGGGCTTCTCAGCCTCCACACTATTGACATTTTGGGCCAGTTAGTTCTTGGTTGTGGGGGCTGTCCTGTACTGCTCTGTGTGATGTGTAGCAGTATTCCTGGCCTCTACCCACCAGATGTGCTACTGAACACCCCCCCCCCCACATCACGGCAGTCAAAACGGGCACGGCCTCTGGTGGGCAGAGTCACCTCCATTTGAGAACTCTTCCCAACAGCACTCTCCCCTTACCCCCAAACATAGAGGTCTTGCAGATAACAGAGCTACCCCACGCTATTCCAAAGCTGAGTGAACCAGAACCAGAACTGCAAGGCTCATGCCACCAGACTGTGCCACCGTTTTACTGTGTGTGTGGATAAAAGAACATTTTAATTGTCTCTGGTGACAAGAAGAGCAAGTCGAGTCCCTGCGGGGACACAGATGCCTTCCGTGGGCTCACTGGGGTTTCCCTTCTTCCTGGGCAGTAAGGGGGCCACTCCTCTCACAGCACACATGTGGTAGGGAGATGTCTTCCAGGGTCATGGCCTGACTCTGCTGTGACCCAGGCAGTACTTACTTGGTGACGGTCACAGTGATGTCTGCTGTCCTGTTTGGAAAGGCATTCTCCTCTAGCTGCCAAACGACTGAGACATGAGCCTATTTTAAAGGAGAAAAAATTGGTCACTTGATTCCTCCCTATACCACTCACAGTTCAGACCGCTGGCTACTCCTGGAACAGACCTAGGAGACGATTCCTCAGATTTTCACATTCCTCACATTTTTGTAACACAGCATGTTTCCTTTCCATTCTTTCTTTTTTTTTTTTTTTTTTGAGATGGAGTCTCGCTTTGTCACCCAGGATGGAGTGCAGTGACGTGATCTCGGCTCACTGCAACCTCTGCCTCCCAGGTTCAAGCGATTCTCCTGCCTCAGCCTCCTGAGTAGCTGGGACTACAGGCATGCACCACCATGCCTGGCTAATTTTGTATTTTTAGTAGAGACGGGGTTTCTCCATGTTGGCCAGGCTGGTCTCAAACTCCTGACCTCAAGCGATCCACCCACCTTGGCCTTCCAAAGTGCTCGGATTAGAGGCGTGAACCACCACGCCCAGCCCCATTATATCATTTAAGCCTCAAATACAAATATGGAGTAAGCAGGGCAGGCGGCCTCATTCCCGTTTTATAGTTGAAAAAGCCACTTCAGAAATTTCCCACAGCAGAGATGATCAGTGACAGCTCAGGGTTAATGACTTTTGGTCTTGGCCGGGCATGGTGGTTCATGCCTGTCATCCCAGCACTTTGGGAGGTCAAGGCAGGCGGATCACTTGAGGGCAGGAGTTAGAGACCAGCCTGGCCAACATGGTGAAAACCCATCTCTACCAAAAGTATTAAAAAAATTAGCTGGTGTAGTGGTGCACGCCTGTAATTCCAGCTACGTAGGAGGCTGAGGCAGGAGAATCACTTGAACCTGGGAGGCAGAGGTTGTAGTGAGCTGAGATGGCACCACTGCATTCCAGCCTGGGCGACAGAGCAAGACTCCATCTCAAAAAAAAAAAAAAAAACCAACAACTTTTGGTCTGACATGCCCTCCAACTTCACTCCACTTCCCCGAGGTGAGCAGGCAGTTCATCTAGGGCTGTGTACTAGAAAGCTCCCGTCCCCATCACGCCCTCCTTTCAGAGCCAACTCAGCCACTGTAGGTGCCGCTGAGGACGGACTGACTGCAGTCAAGGGAAGCGCAAAGCTGGAACCGAGGGATTCAAATGAGACTAAGATGCAGAGGACGCCAACTGCAGGTGGCGGGAAGAGCAAATCAGTCCAAACCGACTCACAGACGACCTCCTGAGGACGGGGTGACCAATCCTGCAGGTCATGACCAGGACAGAAGCAGCCGGCTGAGGGTCATCACACTGAATGTTTGGAGAGGGAGGCTGTTAACAGAGCAGATGACATTCTCTTAAAGAGCGAAAAAAAAAAAACCAACTCAGTTTCCTCACACCAATTCAGCAGACATTCACTAATTTTTCTGCCTGCCAGGAGCTGAGGAAATAAAGTCCGCTTGGTCCCTGTCTTCCTGACAAGACAGACAGACGGTCTCAGCGGGCTCAGCGGTAGATCCCCGAGGAATTTAAATACAAGGCCTAAGGGGTGCTTGCGTGAGGGAGCTGCAGAGAACTGCGGTGGAGAAAGGTGAATTCCAACTCAGGGGAATCCATAAGCTCTTCCTGAGGAAGGAGGCATTTGAGCTCGGCCTTGGCCTGATGCAAACGTAACCCACAGCCTGGCTGAAGGCCGGCACACACCAGCACTGCCACGAAGCCACCAAGGCTCCCCACCCGGACCCCCGAGGGGCAGGTGATGACTGCAGTGAGCTTTCTTAATTCTCCCAAGGACGGTGCATCCCTAGTCCCCCTCTAGACGCCTAGGAGATTGTTTTTCGTTTTTGTTTTTGGTTTTTGAGATGGAGTTTCGCTCTTTCGCCCAGGCTGGAGTGAAGTGGCGTGATCTGGGCTCACTGCAACCTCCACCTCCCGGGTTCAAGCAATTCTCCTGCCTCAGTCTCCCGAGTAGCCGGGATTATAGGTGCCCGCCACCACGCCCGGCTAATTTTTTGTATTTTTAATAGAAACAGGGTTTCACTGTGTTAGCCAGGCTGGTCTCGAACTCCTGACCTCAAGTGATCCATTCGATTCAGCCTCCCAAAGTGCTGGGATTACAGGCGTGAGCCACCGCGCCCAGCCTAGGAGATTGTTTCATTCATATAATGGATACGGTCCTAGCCCAAATAGCCTAAGATGACCGGGGACAAACCTACAGTCCAACAAAGTCAAGTTTATTGACTCATTGCAACGAGGAAAAGTACACTTTAGGTTTGTTTGTTTGTTTGTTTTGAGACGGAGTTTCACTCTGTCACCCAGGCTGGAGTGCAGTGGCCAGATCTCAGCTCACTGCAAGCTCCGCCTGCCGGGTTCACACCATTCTCCTGCCTCAGCCTCCTGAGTAGCTGGGACTACAGGCGCCCGCCACCTCGCCCGGCTAGTTTTTTTTTTTTTTTTTTTTCAGTAGGTACAGGGTTTCACCATGTTAGCCAGGATGGTCTCGATCTCCTGACCTCATGATCTGCCCGTCTCGGCCTCCCAAAGTGCTGGGATTACAGGCTTGAGCCACCACGCCCGGCCTGTTGTTTGTTTTTGAGACAGAGTCTTGCTCTGTCGCCCAGGCTGGAGTGCAATGGCGCAATCTTGGCTCACTGCAACCTCTACCTCCGGGTTCAAGCGATTCTTCTGTCTCAGCCTCCAGAGTAGCTGGGACTACAGGTGCCCACCACTACACCTGGCTAATTTTTGTATTTTTAGTAGAGACAGGTTTTCGCCATGTTGGCCAGGCTGGTCCAAACTGCTGACCTCAGGTCACCCGCCTGCCTCGGCCTCCCAAAGTGCTGGGATTACAGGCGTGGGCCACGGCACCCAGCCAAAAACTACACTGTTGTGTGTATCACTGAACAACAGAAAAGACGGTTATTAAAGGACTCTGGGAAAGGGTAGAGTTCAGATGAAATGTAAATAAAGTCGCGTTTTGATGCCAAAGCAGGGCTGTGTGTCAAGCAGTCAGCCAACGTCAGGTCAGCCTGTGAATCAGACCCAGGGCCCGCTTCCTTGGAAACCATTAACATAGAGTAGAAAGTGGACACACACTGCATCTGAAACTCTGTACCTCAGATGGAAACAGACCCTTCTCTTGGTCAAAATGACTCGCACTCTCCAGGCAAGAGTGACAGGGGTTCATAATTACCCACGTAACTTCAAACAGCAAAGTTTTCTGATCTGATTTTAGAGAACAGAACTTCTCAGCGTGGCGGTACTTCTCAGCCACAGGGTGTCCTTGGGAAACAGACTGTTTCCTAGTATCTGTGTCTGTGATCCAGCCTGGGGAATGGCAGGGCAGATTTTCGCGTTCCCAGTCTCAGCTAATTTTTACTTTCTCAGCATCTTAGGGCATTGGAGCTCACTCCTCTCTCAGAACCCTGGTGAAGGAAGGTTGCACACAGGGAGGCCACAGTGCAGCAGAATATGGTGGCTCGGGAGGCGTGTTAGCCGGACTGGCGGGGATGTATCTAGGTATTAACCATTTATTGGATGGACCAGGAGGAGGCTGGAGGCAAGGGTGCCAGTGAGGGAGTCGCCACAGAAAAGCAGGCATGCAGCGAGGGAGGGGCGTGAGGGACCTGTTTCCACAGCCGCTGTCAGTTACCTTTTGCATCCTCTTAAACTGCAGGTTTCTGGGGTAATTCAAGGCCATGCTTGTCATGTAGGAATCTTCCCCGGAGTTAGTTAGGCTGATGTTCAGGGTCAGCTCCTTTGTGAGGCCCACCACCAATTCCTGCCTGCGCAGGGCACAGATAAAAAGGGTACAGTTTATTTAATTGTAAAAACTTCGATGCAATAGAATAGCATGTTCTGGTTTTGTTTTTGTTTTTTGAGACGGGGTCTTGCTCTGTCACCGAGGCTAGAGTGTGGCTGCTGTAGCACAATCGTGGCTCACTGCAGCCTCCACTTCCTGGGCTCAAGTGATCCTCCCACCTCAGCCTCCCGAGTAGCTGGGACTACAGGTGTTTACCACCATGCCTGGCTAATTTTTTTTTTTTTTTTTGAGACGGAATTTTGCTCTTGTTGCCCAGGCTGGAGTGCAGTGGCGCGATCTCGGCTCACCGCAACCTCTGCTTCCCAGGTTAAAGCAATTCTCCTGTCTCAGCCTCCCGAGTAGCTGGGGTTACAGGCATGCGCCATCATGCCTGGCTAATTTTGTATCTTTATTAGAGACAAGGTTTCTCCATGTTGGTCGGGCTGGTCTCGAACTCCTGACCTCAGGTGATCCTCTTGCCTTGGCCTCCCAAAGTGCTGGGATGACAGGCCTGAGCCACCCAGCCCGGCCGATGCCCAGCTAATTTTTGTATTTTTTTGTAGAGACAGTGTCTCGCCATGTGGAGGCGTGTCTTGAACTCCTGGGCTCAGGTGATCCACCTGCCTTGGCCTCCCACAGTGCTAGGACTTCAGGTGTGAGCCACCGCACACAACCCAGAATAGCACCTTCTTAACTAACTTTTGAGATTAAGTTGCCTAGGGAATACATTTAGCTGAGACATTTTTCCTCTCAACATAAGGGAACAGCTGGACTGCCAAGCCCATCTCAGTTGCTGCATGAGATGATGGTAATACCTGCCGTTTATTTAGTGCTTACCGTGTGCCAAGGACTGTGTCTCACATGCTCAACTCTCATAGTGATCCTGTGACATAGTACAGCTACTCTCCATTTCACAGAAGAGGAAACAGAAGCCAAGACAGGCTAATTACCTGTCATCCCAGCACTTTGGGAGGCCGAGGCGGGTAGATCACCTGAGGTCAGGAGTTCAAGACCAGCCTGGCCAACATGGCGAAACCCATCTCTACTAAAAATACAAAAACTGGCTGGGGACAGTGGCTCACGCCTGTAATCCCAGCACTTTGGGAGGCCAAGGCGGGTGGACTATGAGGTCAGGAGTTCAAGACTAGCTTGGCCAAGATGGTGAAACCCCGTCTCTACTAAAAATACAAAAATTAGCCGGGTGTGGTGGCACGCACCTGTAGTCTCAGCTACTCAGGAGGCTGAGGCAGGGAATTGCTTGAACCCGGGAGGCGGAGGTTGCAGTGAACCGAGATCGCACCACTATACTCCAGCCTGGGTGACATCTCAAAAAAAAAAAAAAAAAAAATATATATATATATGTAGCCAGGCGTGGTACAGGCACCTGTAATCCCAGCTATTCGGGAGGCTGAGGCAGGACAATCGCTTGAACCTGGGAGGCGGAGGCTGCATTGAGCCATGAGCACACCATTGTACTCCAGCCTGGGCAACAAGAGTGAAACTCCGTCTCAAAAAAAAAAAAAAGGCGAATTAAATGCCTGGAGTCTAGCAGCCTCCAAAGAGTTGAGAGAACTGTACCCAAATCCTCTTTCTACCACCAATTCACTGTGACCCTAGGTGAGGTACTCTGTGACACAAATTCTTCCACGCCACAGTATTTATGGGGCACTGCTTTGCACTGGAGACCCGTGTGCGTAAGACATACTGTCCCACCCCCTTTCTTGGCCTCAGCTTCCTACCCACAAAATCATTCAGACCCTTCCCATTAAAAGGCTGTGGTTTAAGACATGAGTCCATGCGGCCTGGAAAAGAGGGACCTGGGGATGTGTGAAAGCCTCCTACAGAATGCTGAGGTATCACGGGGACCCAAAGTGCAGAACCACTCTCAGTATCTGAGGTCTAGAGAAAAACATATTAGCAATACCAAGAAAACTGTTTTCTGTCTGAAATGTCCAAAGATGGAATGTGCAGATCTCGGAAGTAATGCGACATGTGTTTTGTTCTCATCGTTTGGTTTTGGTTTGGTTTTTATCCCAGCTGAGAAGAGGATGGATTGATTGGAGGGAGGGACAGGAAGCAAAGACAGAGCCTGCTGTCTCCACCCGAGACATGATACAGGCCTGAAATAAGGAAACAGTAGTGGACGGCTGGACACGGTGGCTCACGCCTATAATCTCAGCACTTTGGGAGGCGAGCGGGTGGAACACTTGAGGCCAGGAGTTCAAGACCGGCCTGGCTAACCCTGTCTCTACTACAAATACAAAAATTAGCTGAGTGTGGTGACGGGTGCCTGTAATCCCAGCTACATGGGAGGCTGAGGCAGGAGAAGCACTTGAAGCCGGGAGGCGGAGGTTGCAGTGAGCCGAGATTGCGCCACTGCACTCCTGCCTGGGTGACAGAGTGAGACCCTGTCTCAAAAAAGAAAGAAAAAGACAACAGTAGTGGAGAAGGAAAGAAGTCAGAGACAGTAAAGCAAACAAAACAAAAAAGAGGCAGGGAGGGGGGACAGAGGAGTCAAGGGCGAGTTCTGAGTTTCTAGCTCAGGTGGCTGAGTAGTGCCATTGAGCCATTGACTGAGGGAGGTAACACGGGCGGAAGACCCAAGGATGGAAGAAGATGCGTCCACTCTGGGACATGATAAGAGGGGCGTATGGGATAACGAAGCAGAGATGCTGACACGTCAGCTGGACGCACCATCCCAGAGCCCAGGCGTGAGACCTCAGTGTCGTCAGAATATTTAACAGCGTTGCCTAATCTGAGGCCTAGGGACCGTCTCAGAGGGCCTGGAATGCCAACATTTATGTATGCACATGTGATCTTCTACGTAGAGTAGCGTGTAGTCTTCATGAGATTCTTTAGGGGATCCATGTCCTCAGAAAGGTCAAAAACCACTGAGACAGCTGGATGCTGACAACCAGGCTCACTAGTGTTGTTTTGTTTTGTTTTTGTTTTTTGCAGACGGAGTCTCGCTCTGCCGCCCAGGCTGGAGTGCAGTGGCGCTATCTCAGCTCACTGCAAGCTCCGCCTCCTGGGTTCACGTCATTCTCCTGCCTCAGCCTCCCAAGTAGCTGGGACTACAGGCGCCCGCCACCACACCCGGCTCATTTTTTGTATTTTTAGTAGAGAGGGGGTGTCACCGTGTTAGCCAGGATGGTCTCGAACTCCTGACCTCGTGATCCGCCCGCCTCGGCCTCCCAAAGTGCTGGGATTACAGGCTTGAGCCACCGCGCCCGGCCTAGTGTTTTTGAAAGAGAAGCGTTTGCTTGCTGTGTACACTAGGGGGCGATGTAGGGCAAGCCGTGTGTGCTGTATCTGTACTACCCAAGTAGCTGGCTGGGAGGTTGGTTCTTGACTGTAATTAATTCCTTGCTGGAAACAGCTGCGCCTGCTTGTTAGGCCAGATTCCAGAGCGTTTGAAAGTCTTCAGTTGGTCCTGCAGATGTCTATGGAACGGCTGACCAGGACTTGGGGAACCGCGTTCTTCCCGTATGGCAACTCCGGCCAGCTGGCCATCAGAATCACAAAACACACACAGCACTAGCTGGGACTAACAAGGGACGGCTTGTTTTGCTTTGTTTTTCCCCCGATCGAAGTCTCGCTCTGTCGCCCAGGCTGGAGTGCAGTGGCACGATCTCAGCTCACTGCATCCTCCGCCTCCCAAGCTTGAGCGATTCTCCTGCCTCAGCCTCCCCAGTAGCTGGTATTACAGGCATGCACCACCACGCCCAGCTAGCTTTTGTATTTTTAGTAGAGACAGGGTTTCACCATGTTGGCCAGGCTGATCTCAAACGCCTGACCTCGTGATCCGCCCACCTCAGCCTCCCAAAGTGCTGGGATGACAGGCATGAGCCGCTGCACCTAGCCTGGGAGGGCATTTTGAGACCACTGCATGTCCAAACCCAAACGCATGTGCTTGGCGACACCGTCCTTCTGGCATTCAGTGTGGTCCAATAGAACGTCTGTGGCGATGGAGACAGGCAGCATCTGGGCTGCCCAACACCACCAGCCACAGGCGGCCACCGAGTGTTTGAAGTGTGGCTATGTGACTGAGGGACAAAATGTTTCATTGTGTTTCACTGTAACTCATGTACATGCAAACAGCGACGTGTGCTGGACAGTGCAGTGCCGCATGCTTGGGCTGTGGGCCTCTTTCCTCCCTCCGCCTCCACGCTGTCAGCACATGCTATGGGCTGTCACTACAAACTGTTACCCCGTCATGGCTGGGACCTGCGTCTCAGCCCCCATCGCCTCTCACCTGAGTGGTTACAAAGGGAGCAGGTGCAGCCCCCGCGTCCACCTTTGCTCCTACAGTCTCTTCTCAGCTCGGCAGCAAGAAGGATCCTGCCCAGCTGCACGAGCGTGTCACTCCTCTGACTTCCTAGCTCACAGCAAAAGCCCTTCTGAGGCCTTAAGAAGCCCCATTGCCTCTTCCCCTCCATCCCCCTCCATCATTACTCCCCCGCCCCACTCCACTGCAGCCACTAGGTCCTCACCCTGCCTCCTACCCACCAGGCAGGCTCCCAACCCAGGGTACCTGCAGCTGCTCTTCCCTCACCCCCCGCCCCACTCCACTGCAGCCTAGTACTAGGTCCTCGTCCTGCCTCCTACCCACCAGGCAGGCTCCCAACCCAGGGCACCTGCAGCTGCTCTTCCCTCAGACACCCACCCACATAGCTCGCTCCCCTACTTCCTCCACTGTGTGCCAAAGTGTCATCCTCCCTGACCACCCCATTGAAAACTTCAGCATCAGTCCCCACCCGGCACTCCCTCCCACCTTCCCTGTTTCTTCAACGTTCATCTCATCCACATACAATTTACCTGCTTACCATCTTCTCCCCCTGAGAGCACCAGGAGGGCAGGGATTTTTGTCCACAGAGGTATCCCCAGCACCCAGAGTGCTTGGCACAAAGTGGGTGGTCCAGAAATATTTGATGGATTAATTGATTTGGCCAAGAGGTGGGCCAGGAAAGAGGTGACCTCTAACTGAGGTAGAGGTTATCCTCGCTGTGAAGAACACTGGGTTCTGAATATAGCATTGTCCAAAATGTCAAGAGACCCAGGTTCAAGTCCACCAAATGGCCTATGCAGGGCCCTTGGCGACTGAGTATGTTTCCTAATCTAGAAAGTGGGAAGACAGAGCTCCGTCTTGCCTCCCTCCTCGGGTAGCTGAGGACATCATGACATCATAAGTGCAGAAGCCGTGTGTGGGCCCCGGGAAGAGGGGAAGGGGTGTGCTGGGCATCCTGATGAGGATTCCCCAGGCAAGCGTTTGGGAGGAGGTTAATTGAGGAAACTGACAGCTGCATCCAACTCACTGAGAGACGGTGGTGGCCAACTGTAATTCTGCGACACAAAACAGCTTATTCTTGCAGGCCTTCTCATAGGGCAGCTGTAACCAGACAGAGAGAGTCCCGATCAGCCCAGGCCCCACCTTCCCTGGCAGCCCTGCCTCTGGCTCTTCTCCTTAGGACGCTTAGGGCTGTGCCTCCTGCTCCCCCTGAGAAGTACAGTTTCAGGGAGGTGAGGGGTGCAGGCTGGGATTGTCCCCAAAGAATAGGAACTGTGACATTCCTGGGTGACATTCCTGGATCTGTCCTATAACATGGGCACACTGTGACCCAGTCCTCTGGCCAAGGTGAAAACTGGGGTGACCTTCACGGAATGTTAGCTGTGCCCATTCCACTGACATCATGCAAATTAAGCAGCAACACACAACTCACGCCTTTGCGCATTTAGGGAGCAGACACCTATGCGAAGAGAAGCTTCCTTAGTCTTTTCGGGTGTAGGCAGGAATGGGGGATACCTAGCCAAATATTGTCAAGGTCCAGGCCTTGGAGGTTCTCTTCCTCATGGCTAGTCATCTGGTTTTTGTTTGTTTGTTTGTTTGTTTTCAGACGGAGTCTCGCTCTGTTGTCCAGGCTGGAGTGCAGTGGCGTGATCTCGGCTCATTGCAACCTCCGCCTCCTGGATTCAAGCGATTCCCCTGCCTCAGCCTCCCAAGTAGCTGGGATTACAGGCATATGCCACCACACCTGGCTAATTTTGTTTTTTGTTTTTTGTTTTGAGACGGAGTCTCGCTCTGTCACCCAGGCTGGAGTGCAGTGGCCAGATCTCAGCTCACTGCAAGCTCCGCCTTCACGCCATTCTCCTGCCTCAGCCTCCTGAGTAGCTGGGACTACAGGCGCCCGCCACCTCGCCTGGCTAGTTTTTTGTATTTTTTAGTAGAGACGGGGTTTCACTGTGTTAGCCAAGATGGTCTCTATCTCCTGACCTCGTGATCCGCCCGTCTCGGCCTCCCAAAGTGCTGGGATTACAAGCTTGAGCCACCGCGCCCGGCCTAATTTTGTATTTTTATTAGAGAAAGGGTTTCGCCATGTTGGGTGGTCCAGAAATATTTGATTAATTAATTAATTTGGCCAAGAGGTGGGCCAGGAAAGAGGTGACCTCTAACTGAGGTAGAGGACATCCTCGCTGTGAAGAATACTGGGTTCTGGATATAGCATTGTCCAGGATGTCAAGAGACCCAGGCTCAAGTCCACCAACCACCAGGTTGGTCTCAAACTCTTGACCTCAGGTGATCCACCCACCTCGGCCTTCCAAAGTGTTGGGATCACAGGCGTGAGCCACCATGCCCGGCCTGGCTAGTCGTCTCTGTAAGCTAACTATTTCCCTTGCAATCTTGCCTACACATAACCAACGAATTCTGAAAGCCACATTTCAAAAGGCCCCATGGAGGTTGAAAAGCTCCAGTGTGTGTTTAAAAATTCCAGTGTTCTAACGTAGCTGGGTCTGTTTTTGTATTATGAAGGAAGGCAGCCAGTTCCGCGGCTGGACAGCCCCTGCACTTCGCACTTCTCTCCTGGCAGCCACCTCAGCAGCTTTCTGCAGGTCTGTTCCCATGGCCTAGGGTGGGAATGAGAGCCCAGGGCTTGAAAGGAAACTTTCTACTTCCTGTGGAAGGGGGACGCCATTTGCAGAGGTCAAAGCGTGGAGCTCTCTCTAAGTGGGTCAGCAGTCTCATGCAGGGTTTTTTGTTGCATTTTTAATATAGCCAAGTAGCCCGATCTCTTCCACCCAGCCCCAGCGAAAGAGAATGGGGTTAAGCCAGCTAAACTCCCAGCTAGAACGCATTCTCTGGTAACATCGGTGTGCCTAACACCACATAATTTTTCCTCACCCGTTTTATACAGGGAATAAATTTTTTAAAATCTCTTTGCCAGGCCGGGCACGGTGGCTCACGCCTGTAATCCCAGCACTTTGGGAGGCCGAGACGGGCGGATCACGAGGTCAGGAGATCCAGACCATCCTGGCTAACACGGTGAAACCCCATCTCTACTAAAATACAAAAAAAATTAGCCGGGCGAGGTGGCGGGCGCCTGTAGTCCCAGCTACTCGGGAGGCTGAGGCAGGAGAATGGCATGAACCCGGGAGGTGGAGCTTGCAGTGAGCCGAGATTGCGCCACCGCACTCCAGCCTGGGCGACAGAGCGAGACTCCGTCTCAAAAAAAAAAAAAAAAAAAAAAAATCTTTGCCATAGCATAATAATCATCGCTGGTTAAGGAAAGACACATAAAGAGATGTTAAGCAGGATACACTCTCAAGGCATCTCACCATAAAATGAGATGTGCTTATTGACGCCACAGGCAAACAGCACTAGGCATAGGACAAATCCACAGTGGGCGCCTCCTGAGGTGGTGTACAGAGAAGAACACACTTTCCTTCTGTGATATTCCAAACAGAAAGCAGAGGCAAGTTTCTGCTTTCATGGGAAAGCAGACAACAAGCAAATACATGGGAGAAACAGGGAAATACTACGTATTGACAAGACTGTGCTAAAAATTAAAATACTGTGGGCCAAGCGCGGTGGCTCACGTCTGTAATCCCAGCACTTTGGGAGGCCGAGGCGGGTGGATCACTTGAGATCAGGAGTTCAAGACCAGCCTGGCCAACATGGTGAAGCCCCGTCTCTACTAAAATTACAAAAATTAGCCAGGCGTGGTGACGCACGCCGGTAATCCCAGCTACTCGGGAGGCTGAGGCAGGAGAATTGCTTGAACCCGGGAGGTGGAGGTTGCAGTGAGCCGAGATCGCACCACTGCACTCCAGCCTGGGTGACAAGAGCAGAACTCTGTCTCAAAAACAAAACAAAACAAATGCATAACCTGAATCTAATTATGAAGAAACATCAAATTGAGGAACATATAAAAGGACTGGCTTGTAACCTTCAAAAATGTTAATGTCATTAAAAGACAAGGAAAGACTGAGAAACTCTTCCAGATCTTTCGGAGACTAAAGATAAATAACTATAGAACGCTGTGAATGATCCTGGACCAGGACCTTTTTTTTTCTTTTGATATAAAGGATATTAATAGGACAACTGGAAAGATTTGAATAGAATTTGTAGATTAGATAATAGCATTTTATCAATGTGAATTTCCTGGTTTTGATTATGGTACTATGTTAAGACGATACCTTAGTTTTTAGGAAATATATACTGAAGGTTTTGTTTGTTTGTTTGTTGTTTTGTGTTTTGTTTTTTGAGACGGAGTGTTGCTCTGTCACCCAGGCTAGAGGGCAGTGGCACGATCTTGGCTCACGACAACCACTGCCTCCCGGATTCAAGCAATTCTCCCGCCTCAGCCTCCTGAGTAGCTGGGACTACAGGCCTGCACCACCACACTGGGCTAATCTTTGTATTTTTTAAATTTTTATTTATTTATTTATTTTTGAGATGGAGTCTTACTCTGTTGCCTAGGCTGGAGTGCAATGGCACGGTCTTGGCTCACTGCAACCTCCGCCTCCTGGGTTCAAATGATTCTCCTGCCTCAGCCTCCCTAGTAGCTGGGATTACAGGTGCCTGCCACCACACCTGGCCAATTTTTGTATTTTTAGTAGAGACAGGGTTTCACCATGTTGGTCAGGCTGGTCTCGAACTCCTGACCTCAGGTGATCCACTCGCCTCAGCCTCCCAAAGTGCTGGGATTACAGGCGTCAGCCAGGGTGCCCGGCCGACAAAAGTTTCTTATGACACTACCCGCCTGGTACAGGTTTGGTGGGGCCATTCAGCCTGAAGGCCCTGGCAGGGCGTGAACAGGCAGGTGCACCAAAGGGCATCCTCTCTGCAGTGCAAGACAGGACAGCTCCGGTCTAGCTCCCACAAGGGACCCCCACCACAGCGCCATCACAGCCGCTTGCCACGTGAGGCTCCCAGGATGCATGTGCTTTATTAAATATGTAGCAAGCGGTGGCCGGGCGCGGCGGCTCACGCCTGTAATCCCAGCACTCTGGGAGGCCGAGGCGGGTGGATCACAAGGTCAGCAGATCGAGACCATCCTGGCTAGCACGGTGAAACCCCATCTCTACTGAAAATACAAAAAAATTAGCTGGGCATGGTGGCGGGCACCTGTAGTCCCAGCTACTCGGGAGGCTGAGGCAGGAGAATGGCGGGAACCCAAGAGACAGAGCTTGCAGTGAGCTGAGATCGCACCACTGCACTACAGCCTGGGTGACAGAGCGAGACTCCGTCTCAAAAAAAAAAAAAAAATACACACACACACACACACACACATGTCAAGCGCTTTTGTGAACATAAAGGAACAAGCACCGGGGCAGACGGAGACCTGCGTTGCCCATGAGTCCGCACTCATGGGTACACATTAACACCACTGTAGGTACTCAGTTTCACCATGTGTACAGTGGGGCCCAAATGCTGTCTGAAGACATTCCCTCCCAACTCCAACATTCTTGGAAGTTAGGGGAGCAGGTGGTTTCTGTGGGATGGGCTCTCAAGAGGCCTGGGTACTGGCTGTGGGTAGTCACCTGGAAGATGGCAAAGGTCTCAGCGTAGCGGTCCAGGATGGGCTGGGGATGGTCTGTCTGTCCCTCCGGGGTCTGGAGCTGGTAGCCGACCTTGACAGTGGCATTGGAAAAGCAGTCCTCCTCACGCGGCTGTGGGGTCACCATGAAACGCAGGGTTAGAGTTCGATGTGCGGGAGAAGACGACAACAAGAATGCTTTTTTTTCTTTTTTTTTTTTTGAGACGGAGTCTTGCTGTGTCACCCAGGCTGGAGTGCAGTGGCGCGATCTTGGCTCACTGCAACTTCCGCCTCCCAGGTTCAAGCGATTCTCCTGTCTCAGCCTCTCGAGTAGCTGCAATTACAGGTGTGCGCCACCACACCCAGCTAATTTTTGTATTTTTAGTAGAGACAGGGTTTCACCATGTTGGCCAGGCTGGTCTCGAACTCCTGACCTCAGGTGATCCGCCCGCCTCAGCCTCCCAAGGTGCTGGGATTACAGGCATAAGCGACCGCGCTCGTCCATCAATTTTTTTTTTTTTTTTTTTTTTTTTTTAGATAAGGTCTCACTCACTCTGTCACCCAGTCTGGAGTGCAGCAGCATCATCATGGCTCACTGCAGCCTCAACCACCTGGGCTCAAGAAATCCACCCACCTCTGCCTCCCAAAGCACTGGGATTCCAAATGTGAGCCACCGCGCCTAGCAAGAATACTTTCTGCTTTGATGTTGTCATAAGAAGAAATAAACAATAAAAGTGGTGAGTCAGAGGTCCTAAGCATCTTCCAAATAAGCCAGGCTGAAGGGACATGTCCTTCAAGCAAGCTGCCAAGTGCTTTGGGAAAATCTCCTTCGTTCTACTATGGTTTTGTGTCTCATAGCTCCTGTGGTTCTCACCCCAATCACAAAGGGGTAAAGAACTGGCTCAGACAGAAAGGAAGAGTCACAGCCACACTTGTGTTTATCAAGATCTTTCTCTTTTTTTTTTTTTTAAGACGAAGTCTTGCTCTGTCGCCCAGGCTGGAGTGCAGTGGCTCAATCTCAGCTCACTGCAACCTCTGCCTCTTAGGTTCAAGGTTCTCCTGCCTCAGTCTCCCAAGTACCTGGGACTACAGGTGCATACCACCATACCTGGCTAATTTTTGTATTTTTTTTTTTTTTTAGTAGACACAGGGTTTTACCACATTGGTCAGGCTGGTCTCAAACTCCTGACTTCAGGTGATCCGCCCACCTCAGCCTCCCAAAGTGCTGGGATTAGAGGCGTGGGCCACGGCGCCCAGCCGACCAAAATCTTTCTCCAAGCAACATGGAGGACATATTAGAGAGGTAAGAGAGAAGATAAGGAGATTGCTTAGCCTACTGTTTGCCACTGTCTTTGTTTAAATGAGCTTTTCTGCCACCGTAAGAACCTTGAGCCCATGGGAGTAAGGGAGCATGATTCTCTCGTAGAGGATGTGATTAAGCCTTTATTTAAGGAAGGCTGTAGACTTGCTAGAAACTTTCTTAATCCAATTAATAATCACTTTGGGGGTAAATGTGTATTCAGAAGAATAATTCATGCGTTTGTTTATTGGAACACACGATCCAGATAGATCCAAAGTTCTAGATCCTGTCAGGCTTTGAATCCCGACATGCTATTTTTTTTTTTTCCCCACGTCTCTGGGCACCTTTGCCAGGAGTAAACCTTTCTAGATGGTCATTTCTATCTTTTTATTTCTTCCTTTCAGTTGTTCACTTTTTCTGATGCCAGTTGACATTCAGGCCCTCCGTCCTAGTTATTATCAGGTGAGGTCGGATAACGGATGCCAAGAACACCTGGCATTCCTGAGTTATTACCAAGAAAAACGTCAGCAATGACAGCATCTCCATCTTCCATGCCATTATGTGGCTCTTGATTTATTATTATTATTATTATTGTTATTATTTTGAGATGGAGTTTTGCTCTTGTTGCCCAGGCTGGAGTGCAGTGGAATGATTTTGGCTCACTGCAACCTCCACCTCCCAGATTCAAGCGATTCTCCTGCCTCAGCCTCCCAAGTAGCTGGGATTACAGGCACGCGCCACCATGCCCGGCTAATTTTTGTGTTTTTAGTGGAGACAGGGTTTCACTGTGTTGGCTGGGCTGGTCTTGAACTCCCGACCTCAAGTGATCTGCCCGCTTCGGCCTCCCAAAGTGCTAGGATTACACGCATAAGCCACCGCACCTGGCCTGTTAGGATTATTTCAATCACCTCATTTGTAGGGATGGGTATGTGCCCTTCACTGCGTTACCTCAAATCCTTTCTCAATGACACAGACCCCTCCGGACTCCCATCCAACCCCCCCCCCACTTACCTCTCCCTCTGTGGGCACGAGCAGGAGGTCCTCACAAAGACGGGACCCGCTGCTCCACTCCCTCAGGCAGCCCAGACAGCTTCTCCCGTCTGAACACTGCAGCCTTTTCCTCTCCTTCCCCACATCTACGTCCAGCGTGAAGTTGAGAAATGCCCCGCGGAGACCTGGGAATGAAGACCAGACCTTCCCGGTGAGGTGGGGATGAGCCGGCCGCAGACAGAAGGCCCCCAGCCTGCCTGAGGTTCCTTGTAGCCCCTGCTGAACAGTGTCCCCATGCAGGTACTTCCCTGGGGCTGGACCCCTGCGTCGCTTTTTCAAAGATATTTTCTCACTGTCTGCTGACACCTGACCAGGGCCTCTGAGTGCTCCAGCCCCAAACCTGGAACGGCACGTTCCCAGCACTGAGTCAGCGTTCCTTAGGGAAGGAGGGCTCGGGAAGCGGGTGGAGATTGATGAAGAAAACAAGGAGGGAGAGAGACAACGAAGAGAATGGAGAGGGAAAGAGGGAAACTACGGAGGGAGAACCCCAGGACGGCAGAGCTGGAAGCGCCATGGAGATTCTGGGGCCGCCTCTCTTACTGTTCAGAACAGAACTGGCTCAGCTAAGGAAAGACGCTTGCCCAGCGTCGCACAGCCCAGCGAGCTCTGCGTCCTGGAAGGGACAGGCCTGTCATTTTCAAGCCCCAGCTGGGATAATAGCCCTCTGCTTTGGGAAGGCCACCTCACCCCAGGAGACTGCTCTCCGCCCAGTGGGAGGGAGAGGCCATCTCAGAGACTGCTCCTGGGAGGTTAAACCTCAGGGACTGTTGCTGAGGAATCGTTCTGGGGGAAGCTCTTGGGTGGACCGTAAATACCTGGGCTGTGAAAGCCGTACCCGCCACCTCCTTTCTGGAAACAGTCTCCTAATGAGTTTCAGGTAAGGAAAGAGAAACCGGACCTCCGCCAGGTGATCCCATCCCACCTGGGCCAGAGGCACACAGTGAGGAGGGAAGGGGAGAAGACACAAGTCAGAGAGAAAAAGGAGGGTGCGTCTCAGGAGCCCCTGCACGCACGCACACACGTGGGCATGGAGAACTGGCTGCCTTTTTCTGAGTCCTCTTTTCAGAAACTGAACCCTTCAACCCTGAGGAAGGGCTCCAACATCCCTCTTCCCAACAGTGTCAGCTCTAAACCCCGTCCGAGTGTGGATATAACCTCAGACTGCCCTTTCTTTTTTTTTTTTTTTTGAGATGGAGTCTCACTCTGTCGCCCAGGCTGGAGTGCAGTGGCCGGATCTCAGCTCACTGCAAGCTCCGCCTCCCGGGTTCACACCATTCTCCTGCCTCAGCCTCCCGAGTAGCTGGGACTACAGGCGCCCGCCACCTCGCCTGGCTAGTTTTTTGTATTTTTTAGTAGAAACGGGGTTTCACTGGGTTAGCCAGGATGGTCTCGATCTCCTGACCTCGTGATCCGCCCGTCTCGGCCTCCCAAAGTGCTGGGATTACAGGCTTGAGCCACCGCGCCCGGCCAGACTGCCCTTTCTTAAGGCAGTTTGCATTTAACAGAGCCTGGAGACAAAGGAGCTAAGCTCTAATTGAGGGATTTCAAGCACCAGGACCTCAGACCAACACCCCCCGACCCCAGTACTTTTTCCCTTCCCCTTACAGAAGCCAAAAAGGAAGGAGCACGACGCCAGGCAGGAGTCAGCTGGACCACGTTTTACCTGATGCAGAGACTGTGGCCACAGAGCTGATTTCGAAACATAAACGGACATTCACGACGCCGTTGAAGCCAATGGGCAGTGCGCTGGGGATGAAGGCCATGGAGACCTCCAGGCGAACCACAGGCCGGGAGCTAAACAAGACAGCAAAGAGGATGGGAGAAGTGACTGCCCGGCTTCTGGGTCAGGGCCTGGCTGATTGGTTCATGCATTCAGTGGGTCTCTATCAAACATGCCCACATCCAGGTGCTGCCCTGAGTCTCAGGGCACAAGGGAAAGAGACGAGTTTCTGCTTTCGGGGGAAAGCAGACAACAAGCAAATAAATGAGGGAAACAGGGAAATACTATGTATTGGCAAGGCTGTGATAAAAATTAAAATACTGTTGGCCGAGCACGGTGCCTCACGCCTGTCATCCCAGCACTTTGGGAGGCCGAGGTGGGCGGATCACCTGAGGTCAGGAGTTCGAGACCAGCCTGGCCAACATGGTGAAACCCCGTCTCTACTAAAAGTTCAAAAATGAGCTGGGCGTGGTGGCGGGTGCCTGTAATCCCAGCTACTTAGGAAGCTGAGGCACGAGAATCGCTTGAACCTGGGAGGCAGAAGTTGCAGTGAGCCGAGATCATGCCACGGTACTCCAGCCTGGGCGACAGAGTGAGACTCTGTCTCAAAAAAAAAAAAAAAAATACTGTAATAAGGACTGAGGGCTACTGAGACTGGTGGTCAGAGATGACGTGGCTGATGCAGGGGCATTTCCATTGAGATTTGTTAACATGAAAGATCTGGGGAAGAGCACGCCAGGAAGAAAGCATAGCCAGTGCCAAGGGCCTGTGGCAGGAACACTTTTGGTTTGTTTGAGGAGCACAAAAGTCAGTGTGCCTGGAGCCTAATTAGTGAGACAGAGGATGCGAGGAGGAGATGGAAATGGAGGGGCAGGGACGGCCAGGCCACAAAAAGCCCTGTAAAGCCATGGTAAGGAATTGGGATTTTTCTCTAAATAGGAGCCGTGGAGGGGTTTCAGGCATCAGAGTGAAGGAATCGGGCTCCCGCTGCGTGGAGAATGGAGTGCAGGGGCTGGAAGCAGGGAAGGCTGCCGTGGCAGTGTCCAAGAAGTGAAGACGGTGCCTGTGCTGGGAGGCGGTTTGGAGGCAGAGCCAACTAAGACGCGTTGATGTGATGGAGATGAAGGAAAAAGGGGCATCAAGGATGACGCCTAGGTTTTCATCCTGAACTTCTGGGTGGATGATGGTGCCATTTGCTGAGACAGAAAGCCTGAGGGCAGGACAGATGTGGGGGAACGAAGGGTGGGGGGAAACAAGAGCTTTGTTTTTAGACGTGTTCACTTCGGGATGACCATGAGCGGCAGCCCAGAGAGGTGCTGGGTAGAGGGCAAGTCTGCAGCTTGGTGGAGAGGACGGGACAGACGGGCGCTCCATGAGCTCATTTACAGCCACAGGACTTGATCATTTACTGAGGGATGGGGCACAAAAACTCTGCAATTCTTGGCCAGGTGCAATGGCTCATGCCTGTAACTTTGGGAGGCAGAGGTGGGTGGATCATGAAGTCAGGAGTTCAAGACCATCCTGGCCAACATGGTGAAACCCTGTCTCTACTAAAAATACAAAAATGAGCCAGGCGTGGTGGCAGATGCCTGTAATCCCAGCTACTCAGGAGGCCGAGGCAGAGAATTGCTTGAACCCGGGAGGCAAAGGTTGCAGCAAGCCGAGATTGTACCACTGCACTTCAGCCTGGGCCACAGAGCAAGACTCCGTCTCAAGAAAACCAAAACAAAACAAACAAAAAAAACTCCACAATTCCGAATAATCATAGCCATCGCTGAGCATTGTGCTAAAGACGTTGCATATATTCACTTGCATGATCCTCTTAGCTCTGGGACGCAGTGCTCTTATAACTCCTATGTAAGGTCTTAGAATTAAATAACCTGCCCAAGGGCACCCTGAGAGGGCTGAGAGCCGAGGTTCAAACCCAGACGGGCAGACTCCAGAGCCTGTGCCCCCAACCACAGTGCTGGCTCCCTCCCTCGGTGCCTAATACCTGCATCGAGCTATTTAGAGCAGGACAAATGGGTGAGGCTGGGCCTGGGACCCCAGAAAGCAGGACAGAGCCCTACCGGAACACAACTGCCCGGCCCAGAGTGCCCACGGTGATGTCGGCAAGGCCGTCGCCACTGATGTCAAACCCACCAGCCACGGACATGCCAAAGTACTGGAGTCCTGGGGCTACCGCGGAGGCTCTGATCCGCTGTGGAGGCAGAAACACAAGGCGTGGGGTGAGGGAAGGGAGGGAAATGGAGCAGGGAGTTCTTTCATGTTCTATACCAATCAGCATTGCAGGCCCCATCCAGCCCCAGGGAGCCCCCCTCCCCAGTCTAGAGCCAGGAAAGAGGGGGCAAGCTTTCTCAGAGGAAGTGGCATTTGGGTGGAGCCTCAAAGGGCAGGTGGGACTTGACAGGGGAGAGTAAGGGAGTGAGGCATGGGGAAAGAGCAGGACCCTCTGAGAAGCAGCCAGGGCCAGGGACGGGGTGGACCGCAGGGGATTGGGGTACAAGGAGGCTTGATGTGGGGCTTGGGGGTGGGGGTGTCAACAAAGCGACATAATCAGGATAATACTTTAGAAATGGCACTGAAGATATGGGGTGGGAGATGGAGGGGAGGAGGAAGCTGGGTGGGCTGGGAGAGGGATGGCAAGGCCTGAACTGGGACTGCAGCGGTGGGGATGGAGAGAAGGGGCTGGACTTGGGAGACAGCTAGAATCATGAGGACGTGGGGACTGACGGGCTGTGCAGAGTGTGAGCATGCTGGGGACCCTCTGAGGTTTCTGGTGTTGGGGGTGGAGGAGGATGAGGACTCAGAGGAGCATCAGGTCTGGGGGAGCAGGTGCTCTCAGATGGGCCACACGGGCAGGAGTGAGATGCCTGGGGCCATCCAGGTGGAGGTTCTCAGGAGGAGCTGCAGGTGGGTGAAAGTGCCCGTAACACATGCAGTGTGAGAGGCTGACGAGGGAGCCCTGGGGAATGAGAGATAAGGCAGAGAGGTGGCTGGGTGGGAGACAGGAGCGAGGGACAGAAAGAGAGGAAGCAGGGACCCGAGGCAGGTGGGTGGAAGGAGAGGGTATAGGCCAGGGAAGGAGACAGGTACCGCCACAACCTCCCCTCAACCTGAAGGGGCTGAGCTGAGGCCCTGGTCTGGAACCTCCCACCAGCCTGAGGGACTTCTTTCTTTCACTGGGCACTCCCAACCCCCTGAGACCTGCCCGGCACTTAGGACTGAAGTCGACTTGGTCATCATATCTGGGAGAGGTCAGAGCCCCAGAGGAGAGGAAGGAGAGGGCCCCATGGGTCACCTGCGAGGCGCTGGCGGAGAGGCCGTCCCAGTGTCCATTGTAGATATACACACTGCCGAAGCTGGCACCATCACCTGCCCCGAAACCTTCCAGGGGGGCCCCGATGGCCACATCTGTGAGCTTATCCTGACTGATATCCCCCACAGCCGCCATGGCAAAGCCAAAGCGGGCACTGGCGAACCCGGGGTGCCCACTCAGTATGCGTGCCAAGGAGAAGGAACCATCCTGTAAAGCAAGCAAACAGCTCAGCCCCCAAGAAGGGGCGCTAGGTGCCCACTCCATGGCCACCCAGGATGCACGCTCACTGGGCTGGTGGATTCTGATTCTCCAGCAGGGAGCCTGAGCCCCAGAAAAGGCCAGGGACTTTCCCAAGATCACACAGCACGAGGGGAAAGCTGGGGTCCTCCCACCTTGAAGTTCAGGACTCAGAGCCTGCCCCCCTCTACTTCCATGGGCAGGGGTGCATTGCTGCAAATGGGAGGCCTGGGTTCCACTCGCGGCTCTGCCACATACATGCTAGGTACACTTGAGCAAGTCTCAGCATCACAGGCTCACCGAGCCCCAGCTTCCTCATCCGTAAGATAAGAGTGGCAGCTACCTCCCATAGTTGCTGTGAGAAACAAATGAGATCCTGGACTAAATGGGCTTTGCCACCCATGCAGCTATAAGAAATGTTATCGGCTGGACGCAGTGACTCAGGCCTGTAATCCCATCACTTTGGGAGGCCGAGGTAGGTGGATCACCTGAGGTCAGGAGTTCGAGACCAGCCTGGCTAACATGGCAAAACCCTATCTCTACTAAAAATACAAAAATTAGCTGGATGTGGTGGCAGGTGCCTGTATTCTCAGCTACTTGGGAGGCTGAGGCAGGAGAATCACTTGAACCCAGGAGGTGGAGGTTGCAGTGAGCCGAGATTGTACCATTGCACTCCAGCCTGGACAACAGGGTGAGACTCAGTCTCAGAAAAAAAAAAAAAAAAAAAAAATGCTGGGCGCGGTGGCTCATGCCTGTAATCCCAGAACTTTGGGAGGCCGAGGTGGGTGGATCACCTGAGGTCGAGAGTTTAAGATCAGCCTGACCAACATGGAGAAACCCTGTCTCTACTAAAAATACAAAATTAGCCAACCAGGCGTGGTGGTGCATGCCTGTAATCCCAGCTACTCGGGACGCTGAGGCAGGAGAATCGCTTGAACCCCAGAGGCAGAGGTTGCGGTGAGCCGAGATCATGCCATTGCACTCCAGCCTGGGCAACAAGAGCGAAACTCTGTCTCAAAAACAACAACAACAACGAAAAGAGATATTAGAGATATTATTATCAACGACTGCCCTTGGGTAAGAAAGTGGGTGCGGAGACAGATGCCGCTGCCCTGCCCAGCCGCCATCCAGCCTGAGCACCTCCCCATCACTGCCCACTGGTGCCAGGCAGAGCCAGGGCACTCCCAGCCTCCATCACCTCTGTGCCAGGCTGAGTGCCACAGCCTTATCAAGCTCATGAAGATGGAGACTCTCCCACCTGCTCACTGAGACGGTACACGTAGACTCTGCCTTCTTCTCCATGAACATGGTAAAATGGAGCAGCCACCAGCAAGAAGTCCGTGGTTCCATCCATGTCAATGTCCACAGGGCACAGCTCAGAGCCAAAATAGGACCCCATCTACAGCCCGGGAGGAACTCAGCTCACCAGGAGCCCCACTCCTCCACCCCTCAGCAAGGCTACACCGTGCCCACGTGCTTCCTGGACCACCCGGTTTGGGTCGTTACATATCAGTTTGCTCACTGAGAGTAACAGGAGAGCGGAGGAGCAGCCCAGGCCCCACAGCAGAGGAAACTGTGTAGCAATCAGACATGCAGAGCCCTTGAGCTCCACTCAGGAGCCTGAGTTTTACCCGGCCTGGGCCCTGGCCCACTGTGCACCCTGGGACCCACCCCTTTCCCTTGGGGCTTTCAGATTCCCCATCCGTCAAAAGGGGTGGGAGCTTTCCCCAGTGGGTACCTGCTCTCCCTCTAGCACTGGCAGGAAGCTGGTCTCTGTGCCCCCCTTCTGGAGCTCAAACACGGCCCCATGATGTTTGTACCGTGGAGCCCCCGCGACGTAGGAGACGCTGCAGGTCTTGTGCAGCACGGCCACAGCGTAACCTGGGGCAAGGGTGGGATGGCTGTGAACACACAGTGTGCTCCCACCTGGCCTCTCTTTTGGCCCCGGCACCTTCCCAGTCAGGCCTTCAAAGTGGCCTGGGGAGGTGGGTAAAATAGGAGAGACTGTCTTTCTCACTATATTAAAGATCTGCACCAGCGAACACTCTCCATTTACCAGTCACACACATCCCCATCAACAGAAGTGATGCACACACTGTCACGTATGCAGCTTTGCTCAAAACACTCGTTCCCACACATCTACTACCGACGCTCACACACACATCCTAGGGGGACTGAGAAGAGGTGTGAGAGGATTGCCCACCACTATTATTATTTTTGTTTATTGATTTATTTTTGAGACAGAGTCTCGGTCTATAACCCATGCTGGAGTGCAGTGGCACAATCTTAGCTCATTGCAACCTCCACCTCCTAGGTTCAAGAGATTCTTGTGCCTCAGACTTCTGAGTACGTGGGACTACAGGCGTCCGCCACCACGCCCAGCTAATTTTTGTATTTTTAGTAGAGACAGGGTTTTGCCATGTTGGCCAGGCTGGTCTCGAACTCCAGACCTCAGGTAATCCGCCCGCCTTGGCCTCCTGGGATTACAGGCGTGAGCTACTGCACCACTATTATTAATGGAGAGGCCCCGCCTTCCTGTGGGCGGCTGCTCTGCCTGGTGTACCTGATAGGCCCTGTCCCTATCCAGGAGGCGGTAATTCTCAGCCTCAGGGTCCCTAACCAGGGCCCGCCCCTCGGCCCATGTGACCGACCAGGTCTCGCCCTCATTTGGAAACCTCAAGTACAGCCCAATGCGCAGCCTCGGTGTCCCCATCTGGGCCCCACCCTCACCCAGGTGACCTCCAGGCCCCGTCCTTCCCAGGTAATCTCCAGGCCCCGCCCTCACCCAGGTAGCACCCAGGCCCCGCCCTCAGCCAGGTAGCCCCACAGGCCCCGCCCTCACCCAGGTAGCCCCCAGGACCCGCCCTCACCCAGGTAGCACCCAGGCCCCGCCCTCACCCAGGTAGTCCACAGGCCCCGCCCTCACCCAGGAAGCCCCCCAGGCCCCGCCCTCACCCAGGTAGCCCCCCAGGCCCCGCCCTCACCCAGGTAGCCCCCCAGGCCCCGCCCTCACCCAGGTAGCCCCCAGGCCCCGCCCTCACCCAGGTAGCCCCCAGGCCCCGCCCTCACCCAGGTAGCACCCAGGCCCCGCCCTCACCCAGGTAGCACCCAGGCCCGCCCTCACCCAGGTAGCCCCCCAGGCCCCGCCCTCACCCAGGTAGCCCCCCAGGCCCCGCCCTCACCCAGGTAGCCCCCCAGGCCCCGCCCTCACCCAGGTAGCCCCCCAGGCCCCGCCCTCACCCAGGTAGCACCCAGGCCCCGCCCTCACCCAGGTAGCCCCCCAGGCCCCGCCCTCACCCAGGTAGCCCCCCAGGCCCCCCCCTCACCCAGGTAGCCCCCCAGGCCCCGCCCTCACCCAGGTAGCACCCAGGCCCCGCCCTCACCCAGGTAGCCCCCAGGCCCCGCCCTCACCCAGGTAGCTGTACTGCGCAGCCTCCCCGTCCACCGCCGCCGCCGTCTGGTTCAGGAAGCGACCCCGGCGGCTGCGTGTGTTGTAGAGCAGCGCGCCTCCGGACCAGTCAAAGGCCCCGACGGCGCCGAGCAGCACCTGCCGCTGAAGGGGACGGGGATGGGGCCCAGATGAGTGGGAGGGACCCAGGGCCGGGCCACGGTGGCAGCGGGTCTCTGGGCCAGCGCGGCTAACCTGGCTGGGAGAAGGGGGGCGTTCGGTGGCCTAGTGCCCGTCTGGCCAGAGATGCAGGTGCGAAGGTGAGATGGCCAACCCTGGGCTCCTGCCTCGTGCCCTTGCACTCCCGCCTCTGGGAGAAGCAAGCAGCTTGGTTGGTAGGCTGACCCAGGCCGAATCCTGTTGACTGGGGAGCAACTGGATGTTTGAGCACACAGAAAAAATCCACCTCCTGTCATCAATATGGCCACACTTCTGTCTATCTCAGTGGTCCAGATTAAGGTGAGCAGGCAGAAATATTTCCCTTTATCCTAAAATGGCTCTTTCAGGCCGGGCGCGGTGGCTCAGACCTGTAATCTCAGCACTTTGGGAGGCCGAGGCAGGTGGATCGCCTGAGGTCAGGAGTTCGAGACCAGCCTGGCCAACATGGTGAAATCCCGTCTCTACCAAAAATACAAAAATTAGCTGGCCGTGGTGGCAGGTGCCTGTAATCCCAGCTACATGGGAGGCTGAGGCAGGAGAATCACTTGAACCTGGGAGGCAGAGGTTGCAGTGAGCTGAGATTACACCGCTGCACTCCAGCCTGGGCGACAGAGCAAGACTCCGTCTCAAAATAAATAAATAAGTAAAATAAAATGACTCTTTTAGAGGAATCATCACAGGGAGAGCAGAGCTCTGGATGGGAGGCAGGAGTCCCTGAATCCTAGGTGTTCTGGGCCCCTTCCCAACAGGCGAGCCTGCCTGGGGCTGAGTCAGCCACATACCTCATCCAGGATCTGAGCACTGAAGCCGATCTGTGCCAGCTGGTAGTGAAGGGCGTCTCCAACCGTGCCTGCAAGCCAAGAAGCCCAGTGAGACTGCTGTGGGCGGAGGTGAAGGGAGAAACGGAGGCAGGGGACAGTCCAGCTTGGCCTCAGGGAACCATGCTTGGTGTAACAGGAAGAGCACCCGGTTGAAGGTAGAGACCCAGGTTCTCCTTGAGCAACTACTGTCTGGGCAGTTCGCTCTCTCTTTCTAGGCCTCAGTTTCCTCGTCTGGGAGCTCCTGGGAGAAGGGACTACGCTCCAGTCATCCTTGTTTCTCCAGCACCAGCTCAGTTCATCAGAACTTCATGGAGATTCTGGGACGCAAGGAGGTTGGAGATATTGTTGCCTTCTTTTTTTTTTTTTTTTTTTTTTGAGACAGTGTCTTGCTCTGTTGCTCAGGCTGGAGTGCAGTGGCTCAATATCAGCTCACTGCAACCTGTGCCTCCCAAGGTCAAGTGACCTGTTGCCTTAGCTTCCCAAGTAGCTGGGAATACAGGTCACGCACCACCACGCCTGGCTAATTTTTTTTTTTTTTTTTTTTTTTTTTTTTTTTTTTGAGACGGAGGCTTGCTCTGTCACCCATCCTGGAGTGCAGTGAGGCGATCTTGGCTCACTGCAACCTCCGCCTCCTAAGTTCAAGCGATTCTTCTGCCTCAGGCTCCTGAGTAGCTGGGATCACAGACATGCACCACCACGGCCGGCTACATTGTTTTGTATTTTTAGCAGAAACAGTATTTCACCATGTTGGCCAGGCTGGTCTTGAACTCCAGACCTCAGGTGATCCACCGGCCTTGGCCTCCCAGAGTGTTGGGATTACGGGCGTGAGCCACCACACCCGGCCCCAGCTAATTTTTGTTTTAGTAGAGACAAGGTTTTACCATGTTGCCCAGGCGGGTCTCGAACTCCTGGCCTCAAGCGATCCACCTGCCTCTGTCTCCCAAAGTGTTGGGATTCCAGGCGTGAGCCACCACACCCGGCCATTGCCTTTTTAGACATGGAACAGCTGAGGCTTAGAGAGATGATGGGAGTTGCTCAAAGAAACCACATGAAGATGGGACAGAGGCGGGGCTGGAGCACAGGCTGGGGTCTCCTGTGGTGGCGTGGGTCCTGGAGCCCTCACCTTCCATGCTGATGATGTTGTACCGCAGTTTGCTGAGCAGCCCATCCAGCGCCATGTAGTTAGTCACCTTGAAAGCGTGGGTCTCATCCGGATCTGAGGCGATCAGGTTGAGTTCCCTCTCAGTCCTAGCACTCTTAAATTCTTCTCCCACCTGCACAGGGGGCCTGGGTCAGCGAGTCAGCGCCACGGGGATTCCCCAGGCCCAGGGAGAGAGCTGAGCCCCTCCCCCTGGCCTCTGGGGCCCTCCATTACCTGCCTCCTTTCTTCCTTTCTCCTCCTTTCCCTGCTCCCTGTTCTACACACACTCTGGGCAAAATTCCAGTTTTACCAAAGTACACTTGTTCTCCTGAACACACCGAGCCCCTCCTCACCTCTGCACATGCTGTTTCCTCTGCCTGCAGGGCCCCTCTCTGCCTCCCCTGTGCCCTAAGCAGCTACTCCCGTTCCCTCTGCCTGCGGGGCCCTCTCTGCCTCCCCTGCGCCCTAAGCAGCTACTCCCGTTCCCTCTGCCTGCAGGGCCCCTCTCTGCCTCCCCTGCGCCCTAGGCCAGCTACCCCCGTTCCCTCTGCCTGCGGGGCCCTCTCTGCCTCTCCTGTGCCCTAGGCCAGCTACCCCCGTTCCCTCTGCCTGCGGGGCCCTCTCTGCCTCCCCTGCGCCCTAAGCAGCTACTCCCGTTCCCTCTGCCTGCGGGGCCCTCTCTGCCTCCCCTGCGCCCTAGGCCAGCTACTCCCGTTCCCTCTGCCTGCGGGGCCCTCTCTGCCTCCCCTGTGCCCTAAGCAGCTATTCTCGTTCCCTCTGCCTGCGGGGCCCTCTCTGCCTCCCCTGTGCCCTAAGCAGCTACTCTCATTTGTCTGGCAGGACTCAGCTCGGCACCACGGTCCTCCAGGAACATTCCTTGGTGCGTTTCCTGTGGGCTCTCCCGTCACTATTTGGCCAGGAAGCTGTGACCACCATGGGGAAATGGGCCCTCTCTGGGATGACAGGGCATGGGGAGAAGTGGAGTGTTTGCGAACAGAACAGGGTCTGGGTAAGCTGCTTACAGAGAAGCCCCCATCTACAACCCTGACTCCTCCCCACCCCAGGCTGAGCAGGGTCAGGAGGGGCCTCCCGGCTCCTGGCTCTTACCCCAATGGCAAAGCGCTCAACACCATGCATTTTAGGGGAGTTGATGACTGTCGTAAGGTCGAGGGGGTCCTCGAATATGCCACCATCAGTGAGCACCACCATGACCTTGGATGCCTTTCTTCTGGAGCCGTGGCTTGAGGTGAAGATGTTGTCTCTGAGCAGGGGAGAGTAAAGGAAGAAGAGAGCTTTGCCAGAGGCATGACCGCCTCCAGGAGAGACTTCATTCTCTGACCTGTATTAGAATGGGGAGGGTTCACAATCCTCCCAAAAGACCCAAAGAAGGGGGTGATGCCCCCTTAAGTCACACAGCGAGGCTAGGCAGAGGGAGGGCTGTAACACAGGTGTTCTTGCTTCTCACCTGCTCCCAGCAGAAAGGTGCTGGCTGGCAGTCTCTTCCTTTTGTGTGCATACAGGAAGAGTAATAACATTAAAATGATAGATAATACTCTATTATCTATCATTTATGATAGATAATATCATATGCCAGGCGTTTATCATGTGCCAGGCACTGCTGTAAACACTATATATATATATATAAATTTTTTTTCTTTTTGAGACGGATTCTCGCTTTTTCGCCCAGGCTGGAGTGCAGTGGTGCCATCTCGGCTCACTGCAAGCTCCGCCTCCCGGGTTCACGCCATTCTCCTGCCTCAGCCTCCCAAGTAGCTGGGACTACAGGCGCCCGCCACCATGCCCGGCTAATTTTTTTGTATTTTTAGTAGAGATGGGGTTTCACTGTGTTAGCCAGGATAGTCTTGATCTCCTGACCTCGTGATCCACCCGCCTCGGCCTCCCAAAGTGCCGGGATTACAGGCGTGACCCACGACGCCCGGCCAACACTGTATATTTTAACCCATCCAACTGCCACAAAATCTACCAGGTAAGTGCTATTATTTGTCTTTCTTTTTTAGAGACAGCATCTCACTCTGTCACCCAGACTGGAGTACAGTGGTGTGATCATGACTCACTGCATCCTTAGACTCCTGGGCTCAAGCAGTCCTCCTGCCTCAGCTTCCTGAGTAGCTGGAACTATAGGCACAAGCCACGGCTCCAAGCTGTGAGTACTATTATCATTCTCATTTTATTTATTTATTTTATTATTATTATTTTCTTGAGAGAGATGGAGTCTCACTCTGTTGCCCAGGCTGGAGTGCAGTGGCACCATCTCAACTCACTGCAACCTCTGCCTCCCGAGTTCAAGCGTTTCTCCTGCCTCAGCCTCCCAAGTAGCTGGGATTACAGGCACCTGCCACCACACCCTTTGTATTTTTAGTAGAGACAGAGTTTCACCATGTTGGCCAGGCTGGTCTCAAACTCCTGACCTCAGGTGATCCACCTGCCTTGGCCTCCCAAAGTGCTGGGATTACAAGTGTGAGCTACTGCGCTCAGCCTATTTTTCTCATTTTTAAAGTGAGGAAACGGAAGCGCAGGTCACAAGGTCCTTCAGTTCGCCCGAGGTCACACAGATACAAACCAGAGCTGAGATCTGAACCCAGCCGGCCTGTCCACCGAGCACTCTGCTCTCCTGCCTCTCACAAGAGGAAGTCCTTGGAAGACTTTTTGGAAGACAGTCTTGAGGTATCATCCCTCACGTTCTCTCTCAGCCACGGAAAGGCTGGAACCCTAATTCTCTTCTGCAGTTCTGTCCAGCCACTTCCTCCAAGCGCGATGCCACAGAGACTCTGGGCATGGCCAGAATAATTCCTGCAGACCCCACACTCACAAGACATGTTGCATGGCTGAGGCAGTCTTGGTGACACTCCCCACTTGAGTGATATTCTGGACTTTGGCGAGGGAGGCCATCACATCCTGGCTGTCCCGAAGGTCAAACTCAGTCTGGATCACTCCTCCATACTGCACCAGGGCAAAGTTGCACTGCAGGGGATGGGGAGGAGGGCAGGAGGTTGGAAGAAGTGCCACCTCTGCCCCTGAAATGGCTCCCCCTGGAAGCAGCAGAAAAATCCACTCCTTCTACCTTATCCCTGGGCAGAAAGAGATGCTAAGGCAGAGCAAAATCTCTAAGCGAGTGGGGGTGGAGAAGGGTGTGATAGTAATGGCCCCCAATGAATCACAGACTTCCCCCTAGCTCCCTGTGTAGTCCCCTCCATACTGACAATGCGATTGGCCGTGTGACTGGCTTTGGCCAATGAGGCATCAGCAAATGTGATATAATTAGAGACTTGAGCTGGGCGCGGTGGCTCAAGCCTGTAATCCCAGCACTTTGGGAGGCCGAGACGGGCGGATCACGAGGTCAGGAGATCGAGACCATCCTGCCTAACCCAGTGAAACCCCATCTCTACTAAAAAATACAAAAAACTAGCCGGGCAAAGTGGCGGGTGCCTGTAGTCCCAGCTACTTGGGAGGCTGAGGCAGGAGAATGGCGTAAACCTGGGAGGCGGAGCTTGCAGTAAGCTGAGATCCGGCCACTGCACTCCAGCCTGGGTGGCAGAGCCAGACTCCCTCTCAAAAAAAAAAAAAAAAAAAAAAAATAGAGACTTGAAAAATACTTGCATGCATTGGATCTGGCCCTCTTAGATTGCTGCTGCCATGAAAAATTTGGGCTGGCCTGCTAAAGACACATGGTCCAGACAAGTGAGTGAGGTCATCTTAGGCCATCCAGCCCCAGTCAAGCAACCAGATGCCTGCAGCTCCAGGGTAACTCCAGGCAAGATGGACAGAAGAACCATCCAGCTGAGCCCAGCCCAAGTATCTGACCCACAGAATTGTGAGCAAATGTGGTGATTGTTGTTCTGAGGTAGGGTGATTCTCAGCAACAGATAAGTGGTAACCAGCTCTTAGGAAAGCCCACCTCAAAACACTTTTCATAGAAGTTCCTCATCATGTTGGAGATGAAGTCTTTGGCTCTCTGAAAGTCTGGGGGATCAATGCTTCCTGAGCCATCCAGGATGATGGCAATCTCGGTGCCTGGCCAAGACAAACAGGTCAGGAGTGGGCATGGGATGTCAGGGCAGCATGTGTACGGTACATGCCCCTGTTGTAGGCCTGAGGGCTCAATTCAGGGAAGAAGTTGGAGAACCTCCCAAGTGGGAAGCTTTTTTTTTTTTTTTTTTTTTTAAATGGAGCTTTATTCTGTTGCCCAGGCTAGAGGGTAGTGGTGGGATCTCGGCTCACTGCAACCTCCGCCTCCCGGGTTCAAGCAATTCTCCTGCCTCAGCCTCCTAAGTAGCTGGGACTACAGGTGCACACCACCATGCCTGGCTGATTTTTGAATTTTTTAGTAAAGTCGGGGTTTCACCATGTTGGCCAGGCTGGTCTCGAACTCCTGATCTCAAGTGATCTGCCCACCTCGGCCTCCCAAAGTGCTGGGATTACAGGCGTGAGCCACCATGCCTGGCCCCAAGAGAGAAGCTTTTGTTTCCCCCTTCAAAAAGAGAGCTAGAACCTGGTCAGGCTTTGCTTGCTGTGTGAGCCATTCCCATCACTACCACTCTCTGAGCCTCAGTTTCCCCATTTATAAGATAGAGTGGGTGGAGCTGGTACTGGTCAGGCCTGTAAAGTCCAGCCACTGCTCCCCATCTCAGACTGAGGCACCCCTCACCCTTGGAGGCTGCCAGCCTAGGGGTTGGCTCTGATAGACTCAGAGCAACCCAGATCTGCCTCTTCTCACCAGCTTCCTCCTCCTCGTCTTCCTCCTCCTCCTCATCTTCCTCCTCCTCCTCCTTCTCCAGAGCCCGGCGCCGCCTGGCTGTGTTCATATCCTCTCCCCGGCTGCCTTCTTTGTTGCTATAGCAGTCTCCAGTGTCCACACGTGCATCTGGATCCAGGAGATTTTCTTTAAAAACATACGTGGAAGAGCTCAGAGTCAGAAAGGCTCCGTCCTCACCTGAGCACGCTCACATGTGGTTCTGCCCTGATTCCTTTTATGCAATGCCTCAACCCTGCCTTGCTCCACCGTGGGCCTGTGTCCCGCTGCATTTGCCGTGAGCTGGTGCCTTTTCTTGGAGACCAAGGAGATCTCTTTAGAGCTATCCAAGGCCAGTGAATGTCCAATCCTTACCAAGGTCGAAGAAGTTGGCCTGAGCTTGGGGACGGAGGTCAGGGCCCAGGAGGCCACAGGTGCCTGTGAATTCTGAGCTGAGGCTGTAAGGCCGCCGGGCCAGCACTTGAATGCATATCTGGGTGAGGGAAGAGAGGGTAGGGAAACACCAGGTCACCCCCGCATTCCCGAGCTACAGCCACATTCTCACCCCCATTCTAGAACTCAGTGGATCAACCAGGCAGGGGGCACAGGAGTGGCTGGCCCACCCCTCACCAGGTGTAGGGGTCTGTGCTGGGGTCAAGGCTGAGGCCGACACCTGCATGAGTGTGCTGGGTCACAGGGAACACCTAGGTCAGTCCTGGTATCAGAATAGGTGGTCGGAGCTACAGTCAGCCCTGGGGCTGGCACCAGGGAGATGCTAGACTACTCAGCCTCGGAAATAGCATGCCAGTCGGAACCGCTCTCAACACCAGGGTCAACCACGAGGGTTAGCACCAGCCTCCCTAAGGCCCTCCCTCTTGCCCATGCACTCACCAAAACGCCGTGGTGGCTCCGGGCAACGGTCACTCCCCGGTGCCTCCCCTTGGGAATGGGGACATGCTCTGAAAAAGTTAAACCCAGGTAAGGAGGAGGGCACTCTGGGAGGCAGAGACCCAAAGCCAAGGTCAGAGGGCACAGAGCCACCTTGGTCAGGCCCCTATGAGGAACTGTTGGCCACTCAGAGAAGCCTCTAGAAAGCTAGAACGGGGGACTTCAAGGTCAGGACTGGACATGTTCAGGGCCGAGTGCCCATCCCTGGGGCTCATCTGCTGGCCCATTTAACACATGTCCATTGATGTCTGCTCTGTGCCCAGCCTTGTGAGTGTGGTGATGGGCGTCCAGCAATAGCTGATACCTGCTGCTTTTCCTCAGTGAGCTTGGTCGAACAGGTGGGTGGAGAAGCACTGCCTGGTGGGTGTGAAAGTGCCAAGGAATGTGCAAGGAACCGCGGGACTGGCTGTGTGGACCGAGGAATCGCCAATCTCACAGACCCATCCTGGGGAATTTTACTGCCCCACAGCCTCAGGGGCAGAAATGGTAGCTCCTTCCTCTTCCTCCCCACTGTCAGCCTCAGGATACTGTTTTATTTTTGAGTCACGGAATCACTCAGTCAACCCTGCTGGACTGAGATTGAGTCTGTTCAACTCAGTGCCTCTCAGACAAGGATTTTTTTTTTTTTTAAAAAAAACAGAATCTTGCTCTGTTGCCCAGACTGGAATCCAGTGGTGCAATCTCAGCTCACTGTAACCTCCACCTCCTGGGTTCAAGCGATTCTTCTGCCTCAGCCTCCCAAATAGCTGGGATTATAGGTGCGCACCACCACACCTGGCTAATTTTTGTATTTGTAGTAGAGATGGGGTTTTGCCATATTGGCCAGGCTGGTCTCGAGCTCCTGACCTCAAGTGATCCACCGCCTCAGCCTCCCAAAGTGCTGGGATTATAGACGTAAGCCATGGCATCCTGCCTCAGACAAGGAATATATATATATATATATAGCCAAGAGGTTGTCAGTAAATCTGTGATTTGAGTTTGATTGGGTAGGATGGATAGAGTTTAGTTAATGAATGAATCAGGTTCATTCATTCATTCATTCATTCAAATGGCATTTATTGAGTACCTAATATATGCCAGGCCCCATGCTAGTTACTAGGATGGCCACAGTTAGACTGAATAGGTAGGGGGTGAATTCCACTGAGGTGTGATGAGTTAGTTGCATCAGGAAGGGCTAGAGTTTTGAATCAGCCACCACTAAAAGTGTGACCTTTGTCATACTGGTAACCAAAAGATTTACATTATCTGAACTGTCGCTTCCTCTCTTGTAAATGGTGTGGTTGTGAGGATGAAAACTAAATGACTCAGAGGACTGCCAGGCACACGGTGGACACACAATACATTGTAGGGATCGTTTCTGTTGCTAGGATTGCATCAGGAAAGGTGGCTGGGGGTTAGGATTAGGTTGGGGTGGGACTGGACATGGGGATGGAATCTTGCTGTGGGTGATGCTAGAGTCTAGGGGTGAACGGGCTGGATTAGGCAGGACTGGGGTTGGAATGGTTTGAGTTTAGATGAGGGGGATTTTGCAAGAAAGGGGGTCCTGGGGAGCATTCCCTGGAGTTGGGGGTGACTTACCTACAGAATGGCAAAGGATTTCATCCTGCACAAGGGAGCATCGATGGAGGGGCACTGGTGTCCTCTCGGTTCTGGGGCTGGTGACCAGGAGCCTGAGTGGGAGGGGAGATGGCAAAGCTGAGCTGGCTGATGTTCCTCGTCTTCTCCCTGCCTGCCCAGCACACTTCCCATTCCAGTTGCCTGGGCTCACAGGCTCCCTGTGTGGCCTGCAGATTCCTAGCCCAGACTCTGAATTACGGGGAAAACATTTGCCCATTCTCTACTCCTACACAGCGCCAGGCAGGAAATGGTTCAATGCAACCGCTCTTTGCTTGCTGCCCACCCTGACAGAGAAGGGGTGATGCTGATGGTTAACAAAAACTCTGCTCGCTCGTGGGGGTAGGGATGGGGAGGCCAGAAAACCGCCAGCGTTGGGGTTGGTTCTGTTGGGGGCAGTGCTGGCTTCCTGGTGGGCCACCCCGGGGGCCTTCCCTGCCTAGCCTTAGTTCCTGAGACAGCACATTGGTGCCCCTATCCTGTGGGTTAGTCAGAACTGGAGGTTTGGAGGCTGGGCGCAGTGGCTCACACCTGTAATCCCAGCACTTTGGGAGGCTGAGGCAGGTGGATCACCTGAGGTCAGGAGTTTGAGACCAACCTGATCAATACAGTGAAACCCCATCTCTACTAAAAATGCAAATATTAGCCAGGCATGGTGGCGGGTGCCTGTAGTTCCAGCTACTCAGGAGGCTGAGTCAGGAGAATGGCATGAACCGGGGAGGCGGAGCTTGCAGTGAGCCGAGATCACGCCACTGCACTCCAGCCTGGGCGACAGAGTGAGACTCTGTCTCAAAAAAAAAAAAAAAAAAAAAGTCATGATGTGGCTGCAGTGGGTTGGGACAGATTAAAGAGCACAGGATGGGGGTAGAAATGAGACACCGTCTCCACTTCCTCAACTCCTGTCACTCTACATTTTAATACATTATGAAATATATTCACGTGGGGCCGGGTGCGGTGGCTCAAGCCTGTAATCCCAGCACTTTGGGAGGCCGAGGCGGGTGGATCACGAGGTCAGGATATCGAGACCATCCTGGCTAACGTGGTGAAACCCCGTCTCTACTAAAAACACAAAAAACTAGCCGGGCGTGGTGGTGGGCACCTGTAGTCTCAGCTACTCGGGAGGCTGAGGAAGGAGAATGGCGTGAACCCGGGAGGCGGAGCTTGCAGTGAGCCGAGATTGCGCCACTGCACTCCAGCCTGGGTGACAGAGTGAGACTCCGTCTCAAAAAAAAAAAAAAAAAAAAAAAAAAAAAGAAATATATTCACGTATCGGCGTGGCTTACAGAATAGTAACAAAGTCTGCACCTGTGCATGCATCTGCTCACCCCCAGCTGAACCCACCCCAGGGGGACTTCCCACCCTGAGTCGGCTCCTGTGAAGGTCACCAGGCGTCCCTACAATGCCACATCCAATGGACCCCTCTCTGTCCTCGTCTTCCTCAACCTCTCAGAAGCCCGGGACATAAGTAACCATCTCTCCTTTTTTTTTTTTTTTTTTTTTTTTTTTGAGACGGAGTCTCGCTCTGTCTCCCAGGCTGCAGTGCAGTGGCGCGATCTCAGCTCACTGCAAGCTCCGCCTCCTGGGTGTCCGCCATTCGCGTGCCTCAGCCTCCCGAGTAGCTGGGACTACAGGTGCCCGCCACCACGCCTGGCTAATTTTTTGTATTTTTAGTAGAGACGGGGTTTTACCGTGTTAGCCAGGATGGTCTCAATCTCCTGACCTTGTGATCCACCCGTCTCAGTCTCCCAAAGTGCTGGGATTACAGGCGTGAGCCACCGCGCCCAGCGTAACCATCTCTTTGAAACACTTTCTTCCAGATTTTTCTGCGGACTCTCTCCTCATTCCTCAAGCCTTCGCTGGTGCCTTTGGAGTCTGGCCTCTATCTGCCACCAGGATCCGGGGACTGGGTCACTGTCGTCCTTGCCGGCACACTCTCCCTAGTGATCCCTTCCAAGCCTGTGGCTTCAATACACCTATAAAGGCTGAAATTCCCACCTCTCCATCTGCTATTGGAGGCAGAATAATGGCCCCCCCAAAGACGGCCACGTCCTAGTCCCCAGAACCTGTGAATATGTTGCCTTTTATGGCCAAAAGGACTTTGTAGATATAAATAAACGGTCATGAGATGTGGGGTTATCCTGGATTATCTGCATGGGCTCAGTGAAATCACAAGGGTCCTTCTATGAGGGAGGCCCGAGAAACATGGCTGCAGGGTGGCGTGCGCAGGCTGCAGGGACTCAGGGGTCTGTTGAGGCAGAGAGGAGAAGCAGCGAGACTGCAGGAAGGCTGGAAGCCTCCCAAGGAGGCCTCTCCCATCCCAGAAGCCCCCAGGGCTGTCCCGGGTGGGTTATAAAGCCCCAGTGTAATCACAAAGGTCCTTCTATGAAGGAGGCAGGAGAATCAAGAGTCAGAGAAAGACGTGAAGCTTGTTGTGCTGCAGGCTCAAGGAGGAGGAGGAGGCCGTGAGCCAAGGAATGCAGGCAGCTTCTAGAAGCCAAAAAAGGCAAGAGAACAGATTCTCCCTCAGAGCTTCTAGAAGGGACCCAGCCCTGCTGACACCTTTTCAGACTTCTGACCTCCAAAACTAGAAGATAATAAACTTGCATCTGGGCTCAGTGGCTCACACCTGTCATCCCAGCACTTTGGGAGGCTGAGGCAGGCGCATCACCTGAGGTCAGGAGTTCAAGACCAGCCTGGCTAACATGGTGAAACCCCGTCTCTACTAAAAATACAAAAATTAGCTGGGTGTGGTGGTGCATGTTTGTAATCCCAGCTACTCGGGAGGCTGAGGCAGGAGAATCACTTGAACCTGGGAGGTGGAAGTTGCAGTGAGCCGAGATCACACCACTGCACTCCAGCCTGTGTAAAAGAGTGCAAAAAAAAAAAAAGAGATAATAAACTTGTGTTGTTGTAAGCCACTACATCTGTGGTAACTTGTTACAGCGTCAATAGGAAACAAACAGAACTTGTGGTCTTTCCTGTCAAGTCTGCTTCTTCTCATCTTCCCCGCCACAGGAAATGGCACCAGCAACCACTAAGTCCTAAAGGCGAAGCCCAGGAGGCATCCTCACTTCCGTCGTGTTTTCACTCATGCCCTACATCCAATCCACCTGCCAACCTCGTTGGTTCTTTCTCCAAATTCTTTCTTTCTTTTTTTTTTTTTCCTTTTTTTTGAGACGGAGTTTCACTCTTGTCGCCCAGGCTGGAGTGCAATGGCGCAATCTCGGTTCACTGCAACCTCTGTCTCCTAGGTTCAAGCGATTCTCCTGCCTCGGCCTCCCAAAGTGCTGCGATTACAGGCACCCGCCACCACGCCCAGCTAATTTTTGTGTTTTTAGTACAGACGGGGTTTCACCATGTTGGCCAGGCTGGTCTTGAACTCCTGACCTCAGGTGATCCACCCACCTCAGCCTCCCAAAGTGCTGGAATTACAGACGTGAGCCACCACGCCTGTAATTATTTCTAGAAAGCAGCTCTTCTCCAAATGCTCCTTCCATCATCATCCTGCCTTGTCTATGGTAATAGCCTCCTGTTATTTTGTAGGGTTTGTTTGTTTTTCAGGTAACATCTTGCTCTGTTGTCCAGGCTGGAGTGTAGTAGTGTGATCACAGCTCACTGCAGCCTTGACCTCCCAGGCTCAGCGATCCTCCTACCTCAGCCTCACAAGTTGCTGGGCCTACAGGAGTGAGTTACTGTGCCCAGATGATTTTGTTTATTTTTCTTATAGAGATGAAGTCTCACTGTGTTGCCCAAGCTGATCCTGGGCTCAAGCACTCCCACCTTGACCTTCTAAAGTGTCAGAGAGGCCGGGCACGGTGGCTCACGCCTGTAATTCCAGCACTTTGGGAGGTGAGGCGGGCGGATCACGAGATCAGAAGATCGAGACCATCCTGGCTAACACAGTGAAACCTCGTCTCTACTAAAAACACAAAAAATTAGCTGGGTGTGGTGGCGGGCACCTGTAGTCCCAGCTACTCAGGAGGCTGAGGCAGGAGAACGGAATGAACCCGGGAGGCGGAGCTTGCAGTGAGTCGAGATCGCGCCACTGCACTGTAGCCTGGGCAACAGAGCAAGACTCTGCAAGAAGTGTCTGAGAAAGACGTGAAGCTTGCTATGCTGCAGGCTTAGGAGGAGAAGGAGGCCATGAGCCAAGGAATGCAGGCAGCTTCTAGAAGCCAAAAAAAGGCAAGAAAACAGATTCTCCCCCAGAGCTTCTAGAAGGGACCCAGCCCTGCTGACACCTTTTCAGACTTCTGACCTCCAAAACTACAAGAAAACTTCTATATTAATAGAAGTGAGCCACCATGCCTTACCCATTTATTTGTTTTTAATTTACTCATGTAGTTTTTTTTTTTTTTTTTAAAAGACAGAGTCTCCCTCTGTCACCTAAGTTGAAGTACAGTGGCATGATCATGGCTCACTGCAGCCCCAACCTCTCAGGCTCAAATGGTCCTCCCACCTCTGTCTCCCAAGTAACTGGGACCACAGATGCGTGCCATCACACCTGGCTAATTTTCTTATGTTTTGTAGAGACGGGGTTTTGCCATGTTGCCCAGGCTAGTCTCGAACTCCCGGGCTCAGGTAATCTTCCTGCCTTGGCCTCCCAAAGTGCTGGGAGTGAGCCCTGTAGGTTACAGTGAGTTTCAGGCATGAGCCACAGCACCTGGCCCACTCATGTAGTTTACACTGTGTCCCTTCTGTCAGTGGCAGCCCCAGTTTCTGGGTGACCAGTACCAGCATTTCCTGCCTCAAGCCCTCTACCATGCTGTTCCCTCCACCATGCTGTTTCCTCCACTGTGCTGTTCCCTCTCCAGCTTTCTGTTCCCTCCACCGCACTGTTCCTTCTCCAGCTTGCTGTTCCCTCCACCATGCTGTTCCTCCACTGCGCTATTCCCTCCACCGCACTGTTCCTTCTCCAGCTTGCTGTTCCCTCCACCATGCTGTTCCTCCACCTGCTGTTCCCTCCACCATGCTTTTCCCTCCACTGCGCTATTCCCTCCACCATGCTGTTCCCTCCACCGTGCTGTTCCCTCTCCAGCTTGCTGTTCCCTCCACCGTGCTGTTCCCTCCACTGTGCTGTTCCCTCTCCACCTTGCTGTTCCCTCCACCATGCTGTTCCTTCCACCACGTTGTTCCCTCTCCAGCTTGGTGTTCCCTCCACCATGCTGTTCCCGCCACCTGCTGTTCCCTCTCCCGCTTGCTGTTACCTCCACCACTCTGTTCCCTCCACGCTGTTCCCTCCACCACGCAGTTCCCTCCACTGCCCTGTTCCCTCCACCATGCTGTTCCCTCTCCACCTTGCTGTTGCCTCCACCACGCTGTTCCTTCCACCACGCTGTTGCCTCTCCAGCTTGCTGTTCCCTCCACCATGCTGTTCCTGCCATCTGCTGTTCCCTCTCCCGTTTGCTGTTACCTCCACCACTCTGTTCCCTCCACTGCACTGTTCCCTCCACTGTGCTGTTCCCTCCACTGCGCTGTTCCCTCCACTGCGCTGTTCCCTCCACCGCGCTGTTCCCTCCACCATGCTGTTCCCTCCACCACGCTATTCCCTCCACCGTGCTATTCCTTCTCCAGCTTGTTGTTCCCTCCACCTGCTGTTCCCTCCACCGTGCTGTTCCCTCCACCGTGCTGTTCCCTCCACCTGCTGTTTCCTGTGCCCAGAACCCTCATCTTCCCCTCTCCCCAAGGTTGGCTTATTCTCCTTCCCCAGTCTCGCCTGTCACCTCCTCATAAATGCTTTCCCAGCCAGCCCCGCCTCACAACCCAGTTACTCTGCTTCGCATCACCCTGTCTGATTTCCTTCTCAGAACCTGTCATTGTCTGATACTGCCTATTATCTGTCTTCCCCACCAGACAGTAGGCTCCCCAAGGATCTTGTCTATCTTCTTCACCATGTTATTCCCAGGGCCTGGAGCAATGCCTGGCACAGAGCAGGGGCTCAGTAAGTATTTGTTGAACAACAGCCCAGGTGACAGCTGAGAGGGCTCAGCTGGGGCAGGGCTGAGGGCGGAGAGCTGGGTGCAGCTGAGAGCTGCTCCTCTGTTCCGGCTCTGCAGCTGAGCCCCCAAATTAGGTCGCTTCCTTAGCAACCCTGCCTCTCTCCCCAGCCCTGACCTCAGCCCTAGACTCAGCATCTCCCTCCCTGCTCCCCCATGAAGGGTGGAGTCAAAACCAGGCTCTACCCCAGACCCCATTTTGGTGCGGTAGGTGCAGGCCTCCAGTCTCTCTCCTCCTCAGTCCTCTGCCCAGGCCGTTTCCTCTGCCTGCGACGCCTCCTCCTGCAGACCAGTCATCCCAAACCCCAGCTCCTCAGGAAGTCTTCCCAAAGGAAGTGCAGCCTGATCCCCTCCAGGCCGTGCAGCAGCCCTGACTATAGCACCCCACCCCAATCCCCACCCTTTCTTCCCACCTGGACGGCGCATTCCCAGGAGACCATCACATACAGCTGTGCAGGCTGTGCACTGCAGATCCCAACATTGCCATTCATGTCGCTGTCATGCAATGACATGGCCTGGGCCGTGTGAGCTGCCCCTGCTCCCCACACCTTTTATCCCCTACTGCCAGGGGTCTGCAGGTTTGCTGAGCACATGGCTGACAAACCAAGTAAACATTGACCGACCAGCTGGGCACGGTGGCTCACGCCTGTCATCCCAGCACTTCGGGAGTCCGAGGCGAGTGGATCACGAGGTCAGGAGATCGAGACCATCCTGGCCAACACAGTGAAACCCCGTCTCTACTAAAAATACAAAAAAAAATTAGCTGGGCGTGGTGGCGGGCACCTGTAGTCCCAGCCACTTGGGAGGCTGAGGCAGGAACCCAGGAGGCGGAGCTTGCAGTGAGCTGAGATTGCGCCACTGCACTCCAGCCTGGGCGACAGAGTGAGACTCCGTCTCCAAAAAAAAAAACATTGACCGACCAGCTCTGATAGACGACTGGCCATCAGCTGACAGCCACAGGGGCCCTATTACACCCTGAACTGGGTACAGCCCAGCAATCCTTGTCCATCTCCTGCTTTTATTTATTTATTATTTTTTCTTCGTTTGTTTTTTTGAGATGGAGTCTCACTCTGTCACCCAGGTTGGAGTGTAGTGGTGCGATCTCGGCTCACTGTAACCTCCGCCTCCTGGGTTCAAGTG